CTTTCCTAGCGTGCTTTCGTGGTTTAGTGATTCTGCACGCTGGGCCAGTATTCCAGAGGTCTGTGGTGTGATTCTCGGCGAAGGCGATTGCTTAATTTTTATCTTACCTGCTTCCAAAAAATACACAATGTCTCTACAATCGTTTTTCAAGGATGCTGTTCAAAGACAGTATTCTTGAAGCTCTTCAGATACTTTTCAAAGACTGTTCGTACATTTCTTAGATGATTTTCATTATATCGGGTGAGTATAATTAAAGTTCACCTATAAACGGCATCCTACAGCGCGAGCAGGTGAACAGAATGCAACGAAATTTTGTATATCGGCTATACACGTGATGCGCTCACGGAATTCCGAAAACAAAACCCTTTTAATTCTAAAATGTCCACCAGAGGGCGCCTTTTCAGAAAAAAACATAAAAGTTAACACAATAAACGACCAAAACTGAATACGAAAATAATATCAACATTTATTATCTAGTTTCTGATCACCTTCTCCTCTAACTACATTAAGTAAAGGTAAGGGAGAAACTAAAACAGTTCAGTTTGCCGATACAAGAACAGATTAGGACGAAATTGCACAAGAGGAGCAGTTGTTAATAGTTTCTAGGACGATGTAGGGAAAGGTGCTCCACGTGAACACTCTGATTCACCTGCAAAACTTGAAGTCGATGGACAGTGTGTTCAACAGCAGATCATAACTGATCAGTTGTGAGGCCTCGTATATGAATCGCTATGGAGTTCTTCAACGTCGCAATACCTCCACGATACACCAGACTTTTTAAATAGCCCTATAACCAGAAATTAGAGTTAGAGCAGGCGAATATGGTGACCATGGATTAGGAAAGGAACGACTAATAATACGTTTCTCTGTGAAGTGTTAGCACATTAGCTGCTTCACGGACCCATAGATAAATGATGACGCACCATCCGGCATAAAAATGCTCGATGTAAGGACCCGCCTTTGCTGTAGTTGCGGCACAACAATCGTCTGCAGCATGTCATGGTACCGACGGCCCGTAACGGAGCATGTAACAGGCCCACGTTCACCGATTTCCTCAAAGAAGAATGGCCCAAGGATGAATGTCACCTTGAATTCACACCAGTTAGGACCAGTTATAGGACCTTTGGAGACTATAGGGGAATTTCAGTGTGGATCCGCCGAACTTTTTTAACCCAAATGCGGCAATTATGTGTGTTGACAGTCCCATTGAGGTAGACAAAAGTTTCATTACTCGACAGAATATTCCAAGGCCATGACAAAACAACAGTCATTCTGTTGAGAAAACTGACAGCGAATGAGAGAAGTTTTGGCTTGTTTCTATCAGGCAGCTCCTGGGTATGGCGGATCTTGTATGGAAAGTAGTGAATTATGTTTTTGGGTACTTTTCGGAAGGTGCTGTAAGAATAGTCTGTCTGCCGAGAAACTGCACGCACGTTCCTGCCCGCAAACTCTTATGTCTGTGACTATGCGTCAACAACTGTCTTGACGGCATCAAGAAGTACCTGTGTGACATGTTTACGGCCTCTTCCAGGTTGAACTCCTAATTTCTCCGTCTCTTCAAATCTCTTAATCATGGCCCGGGTACCTTTAGAAGGCAATGGTCCCCGCCGCAGGTTCTTCCTACGACGAAATTCACGAACTTCAGCAGAAGGATCCCCCTTGCTTTCGTAAAACAGCTTCACCAATAATGCACATTCAACTAAACAACCCGTCATTAGTACAGTCGGAAACATCGACTTAAACATGACAAGGTCCGCAAATGCTTTATACCCTAACATGTTTTGTAACATAACCCTAACATGTAACAACTGACCCCTAACATGTTTTGTAACATAACCCAAACATGTAACAACTGACAGCTTTTCCTGGTTTTGCATTTTATTACACATAATTCTTGTTCTGAATTGTTAATATTGTTTCTGTATTCCGTTTTGTTCGTTTATTGTGTTACATTTCATGTTTCTTCCGAAAAGGCGCTCTGCGGTGGACATTTTGGAACTAACTTTTTTTTCTCGAAATTCCGTGAGCGCATCTCATATACAAAATTTCGCTACATTCCGGTCATCCATTTCCGCTGTAGGATGCCGTTTAAGAGGAAGTTTAATTATAACCACCCGGTATTTACAGAAATACTTTACCTAACATTTTTGTATTTTAAATGCTTTATTTGATAACTTTTATTCTTCTCTATCTTTCTACACCGTAATTTCCAAGAAAGCCTTTTGTAGCATCGGAAGAAATATTTTATACCATTCCTCTTGAACAGCTTTTCAATGTCTGTGAAATGTTGTAGTGAAGATTATTATCAGATGATTTAGTAGCGACGTTGATACTCGTTTCTTGTTCCATTTTTTTCAGGAAATTAACAATGGATTTTGACGTGTGGGTGCTTTCTTTGTCTTGATGCAGTTCTTCTGATCGATGGCACAGTGGGTAAAGAGAAGGTGTTTAATATTTGAAAATTGGACAACAAATATGTTTCTGATAATATGTGGAGTTGATCTTAACAGTTTTCTCTTTAAGTTTTATTTGGCGTTAGATGCAAAATCAACAACAATTATAAATCCTTTTGAAAACCTTTCTTTAGATTCTTTGGATCATTTTTAAAATATTTTTCTCCTCTTTGATAATAATAAATGGTTTTCTTCTCATTGTATCATTTGAATACATCCGAGATTCATCTGTTGTGGCAATATTTTTATTTTTTTCCCTTACAAATGTTTTCAAATAGACATTAATTACTTTGCTTCCAGTTGACTTAGAGCATTCTAAGGAGCACTTTTCCGCAACTTCCCTTTGATTTGGCGTATTTTCTTTTAACATTATGAAGTTATTTTTGCAATATTAGAAACACTCCATTTTTTTTTTGTTGTTGTTGTTGTGATATGTGTTTAGAACAATGTTTTGCCTCGACGCTATACTTCGACGTTGTTTCCTTTCTTGTTAACAGCATTACCTATCGTAGCTTTATACTGAAAAGCTACGGCTTATACGCCATTTTTTAATAACTACACTCATGTCCATAAATTAAGGATAATGCAAAATCAGGCAAAGGGAGAGTTAGAAGCAAAACAAATTTGACTTATTTGTAAAGCTTATTTATTAAACAAAAGGTAAAGAGCAAAAAAAGATGCTATATGTTTGATATTATTAAAAAATTAGCGATTTTTTTCTCCCTGGAGCAAATTAATTAAAAAAAAAACCTATTTACAAAAAACCAATATTACATGGTTTGTATGATTGTTAATACATTGTATGTCTCCCAGACGATGCAAATACAGTCCGTACAACGCCTAGGCATGCTGAGTATCAAATTATCGATCTGATCTTGGGGGATATTACACACTCACTCAAAAAGCAATGCTCTCCGAAGTTCCGGTAGACATGTAGGAGGAGGTTGGCGGGCTGCAACTCGTCGGCCAAGCATGTCCCACACGTGCTCTACTGGATTCAAGTCCGGTGAGAATGCTGGCCAGTCCATACGGGTGATATCCTCAGATTGAAAGCATTCGCTTACGATGTTTGCACGATGAGGACGGGCGTTGTCATCTATAAACACAAATTGTGTGCCCATGGCGCCCCGAAACAAACGTACATGTTGTTCCAGAATGACGTCCCCATAGATTTGGCTTGTCATGGTTCCAATTTGAAATGCAGGTCAGTTCTGGAACCCAGAATAGTTCCACCCCAAACGAGCACTCCTGCACCACCGTAACGGTGTCGTTCAATGATGTTTTCTTGGTGGTAACGGGTACCTGGAGCTCTCCATATGAAAGTCCGGCGAGAATCAGACTGCAAGCTAAAAACCTGGACTCGTCGGAAAACATCACACAAGCCCACTGTTGCGGTGTCCACAATGCATGCTCTCTACTCCAGGCTAACCGCAGGCGACAGTGAGTTGCAGTAAGTGGAACGCATCTGACAGGTCTACGAGCATATAGACCAATCTGCCCTAAGCGTCTGTACACACGGTCTGCCTTGAAATTTTCGGACCAGTGGCTGAAGACAGCTGACGAGAGAGTCTGAGGCTGTGCTCCCGCCTGTTTCTTTTGGCAGTAACTGCCAAATACCGGTCCTCATTCGGCGTTGTAACTCTGGGGCGACCTGTGCTGTAACGTCTACTCACATTACCATCATCTTGGAATAGTTGCCAAAGCCTGGAGATGATACTCTGGGCAATTCCAAGTTCGTCTGATACTTCCAGTTGGGTACGCCCATATTCCAGACCGCCGATAATTCTACCACGTAAAAAATCATCCAAATGCGGCCTTTGTGTCATAACTATTCGGTTATTGCACTGAAATGCTTATAAAGCGCCTGCGAACAATTTTACTTCTTAGCCTGTATTCCTTATATATCACTCACTTACACTCTCGTCATTGTGACGTATTATCGGTGTCATCTGGTTACTTCCTGAAATTTGCATATGATTCTTGAAGATGTGTGTAGTGATTTTACAGGTGATATATTTATTTTAGAGTTCGATTTCCGAGTGACTCCGAATTATCCTTAATTTATGGACATGAGTGTAGATACCAGTACTTTTCTTCGGAAGAAAGGCAAACATAGCCTTTCATCATTCTTTCTTTAAAAGCTACATTTTGCATGAAAAAAAATGCCAAGTAGCAGACGATTATTTTTAATTTCAAAAATGTAACTGCAGTTAAAAAAATTCCAAGCAGATTTGTTTTTACAGCAAAGCAAATTTGTTTAAAAAATATGCAAACTGCCTCTGTAATATGACAATATTAACTAGTTTTGTTGATCATTGTAGTTATGATTAAGATAGTTAGCAGTGAAGATGGGATAGAAACAAAATATGAGATTAAAAAAATGGTGTCGTGCGATGTCAATGACTCTTGGCTTTCTGTAATACAACGTCACTGCGCGATAGTTCACGTTTACTGATACAGCCTCCTTGAAAGCACTAAATTTTCTTTCCGGAAATTTCATCCCCATTGTTCTGTTTACAATACCTGTATATTATCATTATCGTAGTTGTTTATCGAAATTCATTCTATTATGATATGTTCGTAATTCTCTAAAGTTTTCTTATGTTTTAACTGCTTTCCGTAAAGCACTAGAATAAATAACGGTTGTTATTTCTCCAAGCAGTATTATTCACTTCACTGGAAAGGAAATCATGGGAAGTGAGTATAAAAAATTTAAAATTATGCACTACTGTTACATTTATGCTTAGTAATAATCTTCAAAACGAAAATATTATATTAAAACTGGTGCAAATAACGATAAAAATATTTCATATCTTTTCATTAATTTTTCATATATCTTTATAATCTTTCATAAATTCTATATTGTGCTTCTTATTTGTCTAGTTGAATTAATGTATCTTTTCTTCGTCTTACGTTAAAATAATAGAGTAATTTTGCAAAGAAAGCTGACTTTTACCGTCATTCCATGTTTAAGTACTCCTCTAAAGCATTCCGTGTAATGCCTTATGAAAACGTTTAGACTGGTTTCCTTTTATTTCCAAATAACATTTGTTGCGTAATTATAAAAGCATCAGAATTTTGTAAAGCTTATCACAGCATGTGGACGATTAATTTCAGTTTTAAACAAAGTGCAAATTTATTGAAAAACTTCGGTGAAACGTTAATGGTATACGATGCGTAAATGCCGGAAAGTGCATTTTTTACAATAAATCAAAAATAATTTAGACTTTTAAATCAAAATAAGCTTCCTTAAAAAAAAAAGTCGTTCTAAAATACATTAAATCCATAAATGCAATTTTTACTTAAATTTCCTCTTACAATGCGTTTTACCTTAACTTCATATTTTATATTTATTTGTAATAATAATTTTAATTTTAACTTTTACCTTTTTACTTTTAAGGAATTAGGTGTTGTTATATCATCTTCCTAAATCTCTAGACTGTACCCTATGATAATGGTTTAAGTGTGCTTTAAAGGCATGAAAATATATTTAATGAATTTATGTACACGTATGAAATTCTCTAAGAAATTTTAATTGGCACACTGAGTGCAAAAGTTTGAAAAGTTAAAGTGCAGAAGTCCATACGGAAGTTTCCATTTCGAAAGAATTCTGATATTCTACTTTGATATCGAATTCTTCTAACTTCAAAGTTGTACCACTTCATTTATTCTTAAACTGAAATAATACAATTTATATACTGAATTCATTCGCACACTATTTTATTTTATAGAATGGTAATATCACACTGCAAAATATCTTTCTCGTGTTAACTTTGGAGACACTGACTGAATAGCACTCTGCAGTCAGTGGAAGATTTTAGTCTCTTGTTAGATATCTATTCAAATTTTCTGAACTCTGACTATGGTATTCTACAGTCTTTAAAAGTTATATATTTTAAGCGTTTTTCTAAGTAATTTTCCTCTGTGAAATTTTAAAATATTCAATCATTTCAGAAACGAATTTCTGACTTTTTGAGTCTGAGATCTATAACTACATTTTTGTCCGTTATTTTCTGTTATCACTGGTATAAAACATGCGATTGTTATTCATTCACATTTACCTTTGCATTATTATTTACACACCCATCTTATTATCACAATATGCTTTGTTTCATAATATCGTTTCTTCAAAATTCATGTAAATAGAATTTGAATGGAACTTTATAAGACTGTAAATTACTTTTTGTTAACAATTAAAGAAACTTCAGCATTTTGCAAGAATCGCGTTAGCTCATTATATTTACAAGTAGGCAAAAATGTAAACTTTGACTACCGTATATTTTGAATAACACTTCAAGGGCTTAAGATATGTTCTTATCCAGAAGCGAAATCGTTTTCGCAAATCTAGATTCTTGGATTCTGATATCTAGTAATGCATTTCTCTGTTATCTTAAAGCAGCATTTTTAATTATCTCAAATTACTCCTTATGGTGTGATCTGAAAAACTTCAAAAATTTTTAAACAAGCTTCGAGAGGATGGTCAGGTACTTGACTGTGAGTTCCCAGTTCCTGGTTCTGCTTTATGCCCTGAAACAATGCTTGTTTTATGATGGCCCATCTCAATGAAGCATAAGCTCTAAGGTTTTATTATTGGACGATAGAAGCTACATATAAGTCCCGTGCCGGGTAATGATTGGAGGTTGGCAGAGGAATTATGACTATTTGTCATGTGACATCGGTAAATTGTCTGTTTGATTTACTATGTCACTTCCTGAATGCCTCTACTTTTGAAAATAATGTTATGAACAAGGCATAAATTCAGAAAAAAATTCAGAATAACGGAAATAGTTTCATCATGAAGAAATTGGTAAAAGAATCTGTGATGGACTGGATTATGAAAAAGCAAGCGAGGGTTATCTGTCCAAGGGAAAGAATGCGTTCGTGAAAGACATTTTTAGTAAACTAGCTCGTATAAAAGTTATACGCAAGGAAAACTACGAAACCTCTTATGCAGCTTTTTGCCAGGATTCTACTTCTAATTTTCTGTTATCACTGGTGTAAAACATGCGATTGTTATTCATTATTTACATTTAATTTTACATTATTATTTACACACTCATCTTATTGTCACAATATGCTTTGTTTCATAATAACGTTTCTTCAAAATTCATGTAAATAGAATTTGAATGGAACTTTATAAAACTGTAAATTTTAAAGCTCAAGTTATGGTGTGTGCATTTTATTATTATTTTTGAAAACTAAATATAATGTGTCTGTGTAATATAGTGAAAATAAAGGTAGTTGTTTGGGATAATCTTCTTTTTAAAGCTGAGAAGTTTATTAAGGTAAGGAAACAGAAACGATTTATTTTAAAGTTTCACAAAATATACCTTATCACACTAATTAAATAGTTTAACCATTTTAATATTTATTTCATTTAGAAAAACAAGCCAATCTAGGAGGATCTCGATCGACTCTTTTATGGAACAAGAAAGTCCCAAATTCAGAACTTGAAAAATTCAAAAAAGTTGTTGAAAAGAAATATGATCTACATTTTGGTAAGACTCAATAACTGGCAGTGGTAATACTTGCTTGATATTTAAAGATTAATATCCTAAGTTAACTAACTTTTCTTCTTAATATATTTGATATTGCCAATGTGTAAGTAAGAAAGTATTGCATACCCATGACGCTTTTGATATATACATCAAATTCACAGCCTTAAACAATGTGTGTGTGTGTAAGTTACGCGTTGTGATTCACAGACTGTAAGAACAAGTCGTAACACCAGAATATAAAATATTAAGGTTAGAGTAGATTTAAGGGTGCCCCATGTATTATCGCCAAGTTGTTGTTTCATTTATGGGAACCTGAGTAGTTGAATGTTTTGGAAATCCTGTTATGACGTAACTGGTTGCGTGATTGCGGTAAATTGGAATGATGGGAAAAGATTTTTAAGGGCTTGTGGTGTGTGTTGGTTAGGAAGTACGTTGCTGTTTTGTGGTTTAGACGGTAAAATGGCTGAATGTGGTAAGAGTAATTTGAAGTTTCTCTACGATTTGGAACGAAAGGGGAAAAGAGCATTAATTGATGGGTGCGTAAATGAAGGTTTACTAAGTAGCCATTATAAGTTTCCAGTTTGTTGGAAGGAAATACATATGGTCGAACGTCGGAGGATACCGGCACTACGGAGGATATTTTATTTTTGCCACTTATCTTTGTGATTTTATGTGGAGACGCCAGTATACAGATAATTTTAGGAAGCTTTTGGAACTTTTACGAAATTTTGTTTGACTGAAGGCAGGGAAACTTCTAAAGGATGCAAGTGGATATTTCCTTTGCGTAGTGTTAAGACGAATTTCCTTTTTTATGTTATTTGATTGTTTGATTTAAAATGCAGTTTATTGAGATTATATATTTTTTGTTGGCTGCTCCTTTGACTTTTTAAGTGAAAACAGATCTATGTGTACATGGTCAAAGTCAAGGGAATGCTACATAAAGCCAAAATAACAAATCAAAGAATTGCACAAACTCGGTATCCATGTACCGCCAATTTACGTCAAGGGACAGCCGTAAATATGTTTTCACCAATATTAATTCATTTTCTCACTACTAATGCGTTAACATTAAAGAAACACAAGTGCTTTAAGTCTTCTTGATTTACAGCTGCTGGTTGAAATATACAATAAATTACTTGGCCATAACACCAGTGATCGAAGTGATAACACCAGTGATAACACCAGTGATGGTCTATTAAAGCTCATATTTACCAAAACGGCGCCAAATGTCAGACGTCCACGTTTAACTTAGCGGCTTTCTCTCTAACAGGCACGCGGACGCTGGCAGCAAAAATTGAGTCTTTGCTACAAGTCGTGACGGTTGCGAGTTTTCCTCTCAAATAAGACTACGCCTCTTACAAAGTAATCTGCATAAACCTTTGGACTAAGCGAATACGTGACGAATCGAGGTGCAAAAGAAAGATTACAAATAAATATTATTAGTTAAATTTTAATGAAATGGCACAACACCGTCATATACTCATCATTTCATTGTTTCAAGGAAAAACAAATGTACCTTTTACTTTCTATTCTTTATCGTACAACTCTGAAACCTAAATGTCGTAACAAGTTGGGCAGCAGAAATTGGAGAAGAAATTGAGAATTTCTGAAGCAAAAGTAAAGTTGTTTATTATGTATTAATGCTAAAAATGTAAAGGCTTTCAAGTGCTGAAGAACACATAATACGTGTTTCAGAATCTTCAAATGTTTAACTAACGCAATTTATCGTATATCAAAGTTCACAAAATTCATATTTTTACTTTTTCCTTTACGTTTTTCACTCAGTTTCGAAAAAAAAGGAGATATAATATGTAATTTTAAGTATATTAGCACTTTCTAACATCAAAGCCATAAATCAACGCTGTAAATCACATTGCTTAAGCTGAGTATAGAACTATTAAACACTTTAATGCACTTGGCCAAAACTCATTTTGTTATGGGTATGATTTAAATGCTTTCTATAGTTTAATTTTTATTTCTAGATAATTATATAGTTTGAGAATTCAGTGGTTAAGTGATATATTCATATAAATAAAGATTTTGCAGAACTTCTCGCTTGAAGAATTCGGTTTCTTGATTCAAGACTCTAATTGTTAAATAATTTTAAAGTAGCTTAACTCATGCTATAAATGATATAAAAAATGAATTTTATTTAAAATTCAAAAGAAAATGAATTAGGTTTATTACCATATTAGAAACACAAGGAAACTTCCATTTTGGTAAAGATGCGAATCCTTAAATTCAAATTTTTAACTGAAATTTTAGTGTTAGCTTTTACATTAAAAAATGATAGGCTATTCCATTTAATTTTGAGGTAGAGTTTAGCTTTACTTAGTAAATTTATTAACTAAACACGAATTTTGTTACAGATTCTTACTGGGATCTCCATAAATGGTCTATAGAGAATTACGCCAGTTTCTGGGAAGAAATATGGAATTACTTCGGAGTTATTGTATCCAAACCTTACGATAAGGTAATGATATATTTGATGGTTTAAGTATGAGTCCATTCTTTCAATTTTTAGCTCTTAATTAAATACCGCCTAACAGGGATAGTATTTAGCGACGCTTACTGCTGTACCGAAAGACCCAGGCTCGAATCCCGGAGAAGGCAAGCATGTTTATAAACGCACAGTGTCTGTGCGGCATGGGTTCACTCTAAATCTGCGGCGAGTCGAAAGTCCTCTCTGGATTGGTGGTAGGGCAGAGAGGTGAGTGACCTAAAGACTATCCCCCGGGGTGCTCTCCCTCAAATTTGGGAGGAGGGCGGAAGTGAGCAAAATCGTACTGTAACCTATATGGTGCTCAGGGGTGTTGCCAACCTTGCAAACCTTTCCACGATGAATTTCGTGGGCTCGTTCTGATCTTACTGTCAGACAAGTGAAATAAAGTCATAACAACAAGAACAAAAAGTCTTAATTGAATTCGTGGTTTCTACGAACAATAAGAGTTTATTTTTTCTTCTTTTAACCAATCACATTTAATTCTGAAGTGCCATTCTATGATCTACAAAAAATACCTGAATTTATTACCTAGAAACTACAGTTTTAAAGGAGACACCAATAAAGCTCTAAAATTAACGGACTCCTAGTGATTAGTTACGAAAACTCTCCGTTCTTCAGTTGGCTTCCGATTAGTGGTGTAATACTGCGAACGGACGTCCAATGAATGCAAAATCACTATTCATTGGAAAATAGTTAAAAACACGGGCCAGAGGAATGATTAAATATTATAATTAACAAAATACAATATCACTATTTTAAGTGTGTTTTGAAGCACTTTAATCTAAGGAATAATACTATTAATTTCACAAATCAGTATTCAAACCAAAAAGAACAAATTATGAATGCGAAGTAAGCTATAAAAGTATAGAGAGTGAGTTATAAAAAATATTAAAGAACAATCTTTGCAAGAGAACTAAACAGTATAATTGAGTTTAAACTCGTGTAAGAAAGTCGATTAGAATATTATAATTTCATTTATTTATCTATTTATCTGGTCCAACTTTCATTTTCTAAGATCAATCACCTAATCTCGTGAAACGTCATCTTGTCACTCAGCAGTCACCGTTTTGTCTTTCAGAGCAATCGAGAAGACACTTGATGTGGTTATCCCAGCACCTTGCACGTGCTTGTAGTTAGTCTATTGCTGCTTCTTTCCTTCTAATTTAATTTCTCTTCTCGATTTGATGGGTTCACAGATTGTTCATATGTGAGAGTTTCTAACCACGACAAGTCGCAATCACACTACAGTCACTGTGCGGTTTTTCGCCACCAGGTACAATATTTGCAATTCGAGTGAGATCGGTGACATTTCGTATGTGTCTACGTCACACTCTGAAAAACTTTCTCTGTCTTCAGTGTCAGGCAGAATTTTCTTCCTAGATATCTTGAGAACTGATCTCCTAACATTTCGCCATGTAGCAGTAATCTCATAGATAATGTGCAAGATTTATAAAGATTTTGCAAGTTATTGGATTATTTTCAATGAGCTGTATTAAGGCTGTGATCTTAGAGATTAAGTGCTTTAATTTTTCTTCACCTTTTGCTCTTAATTAACTCTCATGTGTAGGATGGTGTCTTGTCTTAAAGTAAAACTGTTTTTTCAGAAAAACTTTGCGAGCATTCACTCTTTTATGTGAAACTTTTAGAGTTTAGCTTCCTAACTGAGAAAGAGAGAAAAGCTTTTGATATTTTTTTCAAGTGGAGTGAAGAAAATAAGTTGGAAATTAGTTAAGATAGAATATTCATGATAACTTTTCCAAAGAAATCGACGCTAGCTCATCCACCTAGAGTATCATGGAAAGATCGAATTATTAGCAAAGAGACTACAAAATATTTGAGAATAATTATGGACATTAGTTGAATTTCACATTTGAGACAAATGTTAAGCTAAAGGTTCATAAAATTCAAAAATCAAAAACAAAGTACAAAATTAAGAATCAGCCTAAATTAAAAAAAAAAAAAATGCAGGACTAGTTTCGACAGTTTTTGAACTACCTTCTTCAGCTGCTAAGTGCAAATGAAACAAATACAGGGTGAAGATAGATAAGATAAGAATAGAGATAAAGTTGGACAGAAGTTAAGCTACTGGTGCCATCTATTGATGAAACAAGAAAAACTAAAACAAAATTTCTTTAAAGGTAAAGATGGATTGCAATTGGGGTCATAGTAGTAGTCATTAGATCCATAAAGGAAGAAAATTATAAAAATAAAAGCATACTCAAAGAGTTGTATAGAAGAGGCACAAAAAGAATTACCTTATATGCAGTGCAGGATTTACGTATAAGTTATACAAGCTATAGCTTAGGACACCCACTTTTTGAGTGTCTCCCCAAAAGATTTAAAATATTGTACTAAAATACAATATGACAGACTTATAAAGGGCCCCATATTTCAAATAGCTTATGCCCTCAAGTCTAAATCTGGCCCTACTTATATGGAGCTCCAGTGTGATGGAACCAGAAAGAAAAAACAAGGGTTAAATTAAGACACGATAACACGCCGAACAAATACTATTTCAGAATTCAAAAACAAAAACCAGCGAGTTATTTTCAAATTTTCACAGGACTAGTTTCGATGATTTTACCGAACTACCATCTTCAGCTGCAAAAACGCAAATGAACGAGATAGGATATAATGATTAGATAAGATAAGAAAGCCTGGACAGCAGATAAGCTACTGGCGCCATCTGTTGATGAAACCAGAACTAAAACATAACTTCATTAAAGGCTGAAGGCAAAGATGGATTGAAATTAGGGTCGTTATCTACTAATAGAAAGATTTTTTAAATGTGAAATGCCTCTAGAAAATCCAGTTCACCAATGGAAGATGTTTTTTGAATAGTTTTGAATATTTTTTTTTTTTAAATTTTTTTTAAGCATTGACCGGTCATGGACAAAATCCAGAATATTTAAAGAGATTTCACAGAAAGAAACTAAAATATAAATGTGGATATGAAGCAGAAAATGCAGACTTTATACACTATTTTTGTGAATGCATACTGACAATCTCTGTTAGAGAAGAATATTTTAAAACTATTTCAAGAGAAAATATAATTTACAAAAGGAAAATCTAGGTTTGGAATTATAAACATTCTAAGTAATCTAATCAAATATGAATATTTTGAATTAGAATGATTGTGTAGCAAGCTGAATTGTATATTTTTGATTATTTATGTGTTTTAATTAGAATGATTATGTAATACGCAAAAATGTATTTCACAATTGTGAATTTATGTTAACAGTTATGTAAAGCTGATTAATTAAATGATTAGTGATTCAATGTTTTACAAAGACGGAAAATCTCCATTCACAAACTACTATGTAGTTGTATTATACTTTATTTTAAATATTATTGTTGAATTTATGCAGAATAAAGGTCGAGCTGACTCTGCCGGTTAGGGCGAGTATTGGCGGTAAGTTTTGCAAGTTGAGTTTAGGTTTCTTACTGAAAATGACCCGCAGACTATTAATATTAGCATATTAAAGTAAGAACTGCATTAAAAAATCTAAAAATTAATTGTAAACATACCAACAAAGTGATGACTTTTCTTCTTCAAACAGTTAAAGTGAATTATTCATTTTTAGGTTGGGGTGAAAACTGGTGATGGATTTCTGGATTACGACTGGTTCAGAGGCGCGGAGTTTAACCTTGCAGAAAATCTCATGCGAATAAGAGATGACAGAATTGCTCTCATTTGTCTCGGTAATTTAGCTAATGATTTTTTACTTATAATTTCTGTTAATTAGTAGCAAATCTAAAATTATGTCGATGTAATTTCTACTAAAGTAACTAAAATTAAATCATAATTATGGGCACATTTTGGTGGTGCCATGCGTTACCTAACGTGTTTCTTTGGTGTTACATTTGCTGTCGTCGTCTGTTAGTACAGATGGGATGTACTCAACTACTTCCTGGGAAATACAGTTAAGGAACTCTTACTTTCGTCATGCCCATCGGGGAAGTTTTAAGGCGTATATTACACATGCATTTGTTTCATACTAACAATTTTTCTGCCTGATTTCTATTAAGATGTGCGATTTTTTCCTTCCTTTCGAAAAGAATGAAAGTTGTCCTTCAACCAATCAGCTATCAGCTTGTTTGTGATGGAGAACCAGTTTCCCCTTTACATGTTAACCCCAAAGTGATCTGCGGGGATTAGCTGTTATGACAAAGCATAAAAATTGTTCCAAAGAGTTGTTCTTCCGAAACAAACGGATGTGGGATGGCAGCCTAAGCAGCTGGAGAGAACTACTTCATAATAGCTGCATGCCAGCATAACGACTAGTTCCAAATTCCAACTAATAGGTGTGCGTGCTCTTGAAGGATCTAAATGACCTTGGAATTTGATCGTGGGTATACGCTTTGACATTAAAACATTATTACCACCATCGCCTCAAGTTCACCGATGCGATCGCCTTAGATATCCGACCTATCTCGTCATGCGAGTGTCTGACCCTCCTTTGGAAGCACTCTAATAATTTTCCTTAGAATATTTATGGAATGTCCTTAAAAGCAAATGGCATGCATGTAAGAAAGGATTAAATTGAAGCAGGGAGGTTTTTCCTATAAAATCTTTCCAAATGGAAGCATCAAATGAATAGGACAGGTTGCTTCATTTTGAAATTAGCCACTTAGCATGGGAAATTCGTGATCTATTTTCTAAGGTTCACAAATAAAAGCATTTAGCTTTGTTCTGGGAGGGCTATCTTTAGGGTAGATTCCTTCCATTATGCACATGAATTTCCTGTTTCGTAGAAAAGCGAAGAATGATCATCCTTAGACCTCTGACTGAAATAGAAGGTAGATAAAGAACATAAGATAATTTTTAAATTTAAATTTTAGGCACATGTAAATATATCTAGAAGTCTTTATACTGTTAGATCTTGTTCTTTTCGCTATCATAAATCCATCTCCAATGTTGTCTTTCGGGCCACAGCTCCAGTATTCATTTCACCTGCAGCGCCTATGGCAACTAAATTAAACAGTTGATTTAGTTCCCCGTATCGTCTTTGTGGGATTTCACTGCTTTCTTAACCTGTTCAGGACCAGCGTCGCGTATACGCGACGCAACGATTCAATTCCTACCAGCCCAGCGTCCTGTATACGCGACGCAACGATTCTGCTCCTAGCCCAGCGTCGCGTATATGTGACATTAAAACGGAAAGATTTATTTGAATTTTGAAAAGCCAGTAAATGGACAAAATTGTTTTCACATGGCTTGCATTTGACCTTCATATACTGGCAATTAGCTTCTGTTTTGTGCTTATGGTTTTGAAAGATTTTGTGAAATAAACAATCTGGAAATCACTTGTCTTTATAAATGCGCCTGTGAATTAAAGAGTAACAGATTTTTTTGTTTATTTCGTTAGCATTTTTTTGTTTTGTTTTTCTATTTATTTTGAAGCTTAACAAAACTTTCTTGGTTAATTAAAAGGTAACATTACAACATTATTGCAGATGGGGAAAGACTATCAGCTTTCTCGACGCGTAATGCGTCTTGCTCGCATTTCTCAGGAAAGAGCCAGTGTTTTTGTTTTTCTTACTCGATTTATTAGGTAATTATATATAATGCCTTGAATGGTCATTATATATAATGACACAGGCATTGTAGTTTGGTATATAATGTATTTACTTTAATGTAATTATATATAATGTATATATTGACGTGATCAGTAACGGATATCCCGCCAATGGGGTGTTTCCTTGATCACTTTCCGGTCCTTATGGATGCTGTTTTCTATTTAGAAAAATAGGAAGTTTTCTAATATAAACCTGATGTCACACAATGTTTGAGGATGAAATATTTCTGAGTGTCTTTTGAAGAAGTTTTGGGACATGTGTTGGGGTTATATTCAGTTTCATTCCATTAACATGGCTAAGAGACCTTACTTAAAAACTTAAAAATTTGTTCAAAATTACGGGACACTCCACCTTTTTGTCTAACGGGAAGACAGTTTCCGAAAATTTACGTAGACGGAAAAGGTAATAAAGGTAGAAGATGTGTTGTGTCTGATAAAATCAAGGAAAAGCAAAAGCAAACAACGAATTTTTAGTACGAAATATGCGATGTAGGACTGTGTGTTGATCCTTATTTTGAATTATTTCACACACAGCAGAATTTTTAAATTAGAATTTAATTACCTACAAGTAATTCTTGTTTAGTTTTGTTTCTAAATTTCGTATTTGTAAATTTTTTCCGTATTTATAGTATTTATTTCTGTGTGTATAGTTATGATTTTAGTATTTTGCCTGTTTAATTTATTTCTATTAATGTGATATTCCTTTTATTAATACACATTAAAAACAAGTACATTAAATACGCAACTTCAAAAATTGAAGTTATAATATCAAAATGCTGATTTTATACACTTTTTTTTTTTTTGTTAAATTAAGCTTAACTGCTGAAAACGCGCGGACCAGTGGTGACGATCCATTTCAGCGCGTCCGGCCCTCGTGACTACGTTTCGTTCTTCCGGCACTGGTTCTTGAGGGGTTAATGTCCTTACTTAAGCGATTTATCGCCGTTCTTGCAACGGGATCGCAGGTTAAGTAGTAGACTTTTCTACGCTGCGTCATAAGTTGCCGAATATCCCTAGCGAGACGAAAAATCGTTTCGCTTTTATTAATCGTATAACTTGCTTCTTCCACAGCGCTTTGAATATGTTCAGTAATAGAAGAGACAGCTGCATCGACTCCTTGTACTCATGGCATGTGTTCATGGGCAACTTCTAAAGTAATGGGAATTGTGGTTGTACATAATGCAATGTCCAAAATGTCAGAATGTTCAATTCTATCAGGGCGATACGTGTATTCATCCGGTGCGTAAAGTGCTGCAGGATGATTTAGAATATAATCCTGGAGAATTTTGCTATGTGGATTACTGCGTCTATAGTTCCATACAGTGCTTTTGGCATTCGAATCCCCCGCTAGTGTAACAGGAATATCCTGAGGTAATAGCGTATCCAGTAGCCTTTCAGTAAGGTGATTTTGAAGTGGATTATACAATGCACAAAAAATATAAGTCTTTCAACACAGGCAGTCACTGATTCATAGCCGTTATCATTGCATTTATTTATGAGACAAGAAGGAAAATTTCTTTTAACGTAGGTAATGACACCTCCTCCGCGATGAGAAATCCGATCACAACGGTAGCTGTGATAATTCGAAATATTAAGACGGTGACACTGCTGCGCATGCGATTCTGTAATAATCGCAAAGTCAATGTCGTGATCATGAAGAAATTCTTGCAGTTCATGTTTTCGATTTTGGAGATTTGGATTTAGCATTCCATATCATGAAGCGTATATAATTCGCCGTATGTTTTGATCTCCTCATTATTAGATTTTGGAGTGTCTTGAGATTCTGGTTTCATGTCTTGAGTGAAATGTGTAAATAGGAGTGGGAGGCCAGAATCTTTAATGATGTTAACGAAACTTTTAAGTTCGTTGACTATGGGTTTTGCCTCAGAGATAACTTCCGGTGCAATACCGCTTGCAAGAACTTGTACACAAATGCAACTTGTTATTTACACAAATGCAACAATTTTACTGCCAAGGTATACCACAATTGTTTGTAATATATCATTCATTTTCAATAATGTACTCACGTATTTGAATTAGTGTTGTCTTAAGGGTTCTCTAGATCATGGTGGACGTGGTGCTATACTAATTAACCGTATGGTAGAGGCATAGTGCCCACGTCCCCCGTTCCTTATCCTTATCCTTGCAAGAACTTGTGAGTAGGATTTGTTAGTAATAACTCTGTCAGTATAAATGTTACTAGTGGGATCGGTTTTGGCTTAGGAAAGTTCTCGCATTCCCTGTAATTTGCAGTGTGACCCACTTGCTGACAGTTGGCACACTTCGGTGGAGTGCTTCTATCTTTGTCACAGGTATATGACTCATGTGAGGCACCGCATCGGACGCATTTGTGTTCGTGGTTGCAGTGTGATTGAGCATGATGATAACCCTGGCAGCGGAAACACTTCTGTGGCCCAGCACGACCATTATGCATCTCCATAGTAATTCCCATTCCATTAATAACTTTTTCATGGAAAATCTCATGGCTCTTGTCTTTTCTTTCAAGAGTTACTAGGAACAGGAGGGGTTTGATCACTTCACCGTTTCTTCTACGTTTTACCTGGTTATCACAAATAACACTGTAATCCTTATCAAGTAGCTCTTCCGTTATTTTATCAATCGGAATATATGAAGGTAGACTTCTGATTACGGCTTTGATACACCTGTTCTCAGGAAGTTTAAAATAGTGATAGCGTATTCCAGCATCCGTAAGCACCTTAATGATTTGTCTGCATAAAGTTGGAGCCTTAGATTAGATTTTGAAGACCCCCTTAATTAACTGTGTGTAATAATCACTTTCAGCTTGCAGATTATATCGTATTAATAGAGCTTTAACATGGGAGAAGGTGAATCTTTCATCTTTTATCATAATGGGTGCCTTGATTAGTTGAAGATGACATCAGTGCAGGTTGATCATTGGAGTGGTATCCATAACGTCAGGTTTGAAGGCAGCAGCTGCCTGATCAGCAATCGGTAAAAGAGAATACTGAGGAGGTGGAGGGTGAGGGGTAGTCTTCTTCATAAGGTTTGCGAGTGCGTTTCGTAGTGTCCCCTTTCGGACTGTTCTCCGAATCCAAACGTTCATCCAAAGCTTTATATTTTCTGATGTCCTCATCGGAATATGCAGGACTTCCAGCACGTCCGACAATCGGTTTAGTAACTGGAAGATGAAGAAATTCCTCATTTTAGCTATCACTGCAGGTCGCAGAAGTAGCAGCACTAATTTGGTCTTGCAGCAGCTTCTGGTCAATGATTCGTTTTAGTCGTCTTAAACAAGACAAGTCGCGAGCATCATTGTCAGGAAGATTGTTGTAAACCTCAGCTTGTAACTCGAGGTTTGTAATTTCCGATGCAATGTAGTTAATCAGACGCTCCATCATAGAAGACGAAACAACAGCCACAAGCAGCAAAATAAGCACATCAGGGCCCTACGCCTTGTAGAATTCATGAGACGACGCAAAGGCAGTAACGTCAGATAACTGAATTAGCTTACTGAAATCAATGTTCGTCGATAGAAATCAGCAACTCCGGACAGTAACCGCCTTTTCTTCTTAATAATTTCAGATTTAAAACTAACCGCAAAAGTAGAAGGCTTTAACTCACTCACGTCCAGTCGAAAATTACGAATCGACCAAAACTCTCGGTCCTTCTCATCCTCCTCTCTTTACAGTAAATGCGAGGATTAGGAAAAGTACCAAACTTAAAGTAATTTGTTATGAAAACTGAGGAAACCCTAAACTACGATCTAGTTCTATTGGGTTATGTGTATGGCGTTTATTATATATATTTCATGTAATACTCCTGTTATATATGAAATGTAGAGTCTTGTCTTTACACTTAGATTTGAGTATTTATGATTATGTATTGTAACAGAGTTTACTATATGATCAAGTTTCAGTTTGTAGTGCTTTTAATGTAAGCGCAACAAGCAAATAAAATATTTTGATTAATTATGCTACTACGACCTCCTTTTTCAGATGAGACTGGTCACGAAGAAAAAGTCACTTATGCTCAGGTATTCGAAGAGGCCAAGCAGTATGCTGCAGCGTTCAGAAAACATGGCTTGAAGAAAGGAGACGCGGTGGCTTGTAAGAAAAAAAAATTAAAATATATATTTTTAATAAAGTTTTAAAAAATTAATAACTACCATTTAAATTAAAGCATTATAATAAATTGTAATACCTTAGTTTTAGGCGGTCAATTTTAAGCATTTAATATCATATTATTAAAAAACAAGAATCACGGCAAATTTGGATTATATATACAGTTGCAAAAATCCACGGCAATTATTAAAATGCGGTTTAGTTTAATGGCCAATACAAAAACGGCAAAAATTACAGGAAAAGAATACTCAAATTTTTAAATAGAATGAGAAAGGCATACACATAAATAATAATTATATGTACTGTATGTAATATTTGCTCTGTTTGGCCTAAAGATATCTTAAAAGAGTTCCTAAAAGGTTGTCGAGATATCGAGAGTTTGCGGGAATCTATTATTTTCGAATTTTAAAATGTGGAGATAATAAAGATAATACACACGTCAAATAAATTCAGTTAAATTCCTCCTTTACCTTTCGTGTATATTATTAATATTAATAGGCTTTAGAATCATTAATAGCCGCTGGTAGTAGATGATTATGAATGGGAAAATATGCCAGTGAGAAAGTTCGAAGTAATATTTACTCTTATAACAAGAAGTAGCATGTTACTATTAAATATCTTATGAATATTTTCCTTTCAGAATTAGATCAATTATCAAAGGAAACTATGGAACTTCTCCTGAAAATCCTGAACCAATATAATCACAGAATACTTGCACGTAAATAAAAAAAAAACTTATTGATTAACAAATAATAAAATCTTTTATACGTAAATAATAATGGAAATAAGGGAAAATCTGTTCATGAACTACTTTCAAAAGCCTCATGTGTCTTAAATATACTTTCCGAAGTTGAAATATAAGATTTCCAAACTATTATAAATTCAAACAAACCTCAGAAAAAGATATTCTGAAATTAACATGTAGTCAAAATAAGAAAGAATCTAAAAAAAAAAAAAAAAGGAAAGTGAAGCTCTTAAATTTCAAGTTTGATATCTTCAAGGGTAATTAAAAGGATTTATTACTTCATAGTTATATAAAAAATATAACAAAGAAATTTTAAATCATCGTTCATTTTAAAAGATTATCTAACTCAAGAATTATGTCCAACAAAACGTTTTGATCAAATGCTAGGATGAAAACTGTCGGATGTGAGTATCTTCCGAAAGGAATATAATTTAATTAAATACGTATTATTTAATAATTAACCCAAAAGAGACGTTACACCGAATGGGATTTTAGTCTTGAAGCGGCTTTTGCGTCGAAACACTTAAATGCGTTTTATCACTTTTCAGATTGTTGCCACCAAATATTATCGGCTTGTGTTATATTTAAAGAAATTAAATGATTATGAATCTGCAGGAATGTATGTATGCTTCTCGCACAACACTTGTGAAAAATCAACTGTACCTAGAGCCATCCAATTCTAAATAACATAGTCCTCCACCAAAACCACCGAAAGTGCTTTTTTATTTATTTCGTATTTTGTAAAATTTTAACTCTTTGAAATCCAGACCCTTCACTAACCTGTATCCTCAAAATACCGAACCGCCCGAAATAGTTTTCCAGTTTCACAGCAATTTCCTCCCCTCTCTGTCCATTAACGCAGAAAATAGGTGTGAAAATTTCCAATGACATCCTTTGTACCTTCTAACAAAGATTCCATTAGCTTTTGACCCCGCTCTTTATAAAACGTTTCTGACGGTCAGACCAACAAGTCTTTCTGGCTTCGGATCACGACTGAGATAATTGTTTATTTCCGTTATTTTTGTAGGAAGGAATAAATTGTTTAAAAATAAATATAATCCTTAAATTTTTATACTGCACTTTTATTGCTGTTTAAAGCTTAAAAGCACACTGTACCACAAAAGAATCAACAAAGAAATGTCACTATTAACCAAAAGATAAGAAACCTCTTAGGACAAATTGTTTGCAGTAAACTGACACAATGCATTTGGGGAAACTGCACCTGCTACTGCATACCTTAGGGTGAGAGAGTAAAACAAGTTTACAATATCGGCCGTTTTCGGGCGGTTCTGGTTGCTTCAATGTAGGGCTGTGTGGGGCGGATTGGATATGAAAGAGTTAAAGAAATTTGATTAGCAAACCCAACAGTTTCAAAGCGAGCAGTGGTAATACTGTACGGAATAAAACATTTTTATCTCCAGAGCCACGAGACTGTCTATCGGAAATTAAGATGCGCTGTTTTCAAATATTTTGTGATTTTACTGTTGAATCTAATTTTAAGCGGCGTAAACCCCAAGAAAATGATATTTAATAAATAAAAACAGAAAATGTTAATAATGAAAAAAAAAAAAAAAAAAAAAAAAAACTTTTGTAAAGCCATCTTAGTAACAAAATTGAACATTGATATAATGAACTAAGAAAAGACTAAAGAAAATAGAAAAATGTATGCCAACAATTTTTATGCTGCATCAGAAATTGTAAACGTATATTGCTATGCCTTAGATAAAATATTTGCAATTTTGCTGCTGAACTCTATATGGCGTAAGTGCGAAGAATATAGTGCTTAATAATAAAGTTAAAAAATTTAAAAAAAAAAAAAGATGCGTTAACAGGAGTGAATGTAACAGCAGACTAATAGACTCCGATATTAGTGAGAGCGTAAAAACCTTAACAAATCCCTTTGGGTGACCGTTAAAATCTGAAATCTTTCATAACTTTTTTTAACGGAAATTTATACAGAAAGCATAAAATTCAAAAGAAACAAGCAAAACAGATTATATTTTTAATTCAAAAGAATCCTTTTTTTTTAATGTTTTTTAAAATTACATGATTTTTTATGCTATTTTTTGCCCACGAGAACTCAATTTTACCCACACTGCATACTTTAAATATTAAGAGTTCTCAAAAACCTATTCTTTATTCCGTAAAACTTCACATTCTCTTAGTCCACATTATGTCGAATTTGCGGCACTCTACTGTAATAAGTATGAAATGTGGAATTAAAGTAAAATCTATTCATAACGTTAGAAAATAACAAGAGTTACATTAAATACATTATTTGATTTTTTTCCTAATAATGAAAACCATGTTTTGGCAAATTTTCCCGTAATTTAGTTGGGAATACCAAACTTAGCGTCTGCAGATCACAGCAAAATGCTGCTTCTTGTGTAATTGAAGAGCACTTTAATAAATTAATTTAGTGAAATCAGATGAAATAAAATATCTGTTATTTTTAAAATATTGTTGCTAATTGGATGTTATGAAAAAGTACGCAAGTTCTTTGTAGGTTACATGTCAAATAGAAAAGAAGCGGTTTTTGCAATGTTGGCAACAACGAGCATTGGAGCTATTTGGAGTGGACCCCAGCCTTACATTGGAGCCCGTGTAAGTAATGGCTGTATGATAAGCAAAAGCGATTAACATAAAAGTTCTACTCCTCAGTGCCAGAGTTTACTAAAGTGGAAATGTGTAAATGTTTTTTTTTTATCTGTTTAATCTTTTATCTGTTTTTATCTATCTAAATGGTTCTTTATTTTTATGATTATCTGCTTTCAATTCAGATTTATAAATGTTGTACCTGAAAATCTTAGGTAAATAATATTGTTGCGTGCGGACGGGTTCGTTATAAATTGAATGCACAAGTCCGATGAAAAATGAACAAAATTTATTATTATCACAACAAATAAAACATAATGCTTAAATTTCCTCAGATGTTGGTACAGTATTACAATATCTCACAGTAGTTATCTTTTAACTACTCAAACGTTCAACAGAACTTAATTCAAAACAGCTAGAGAAAGATAATCCGTGAATTCGCAACAGTCTACAAGAGCAGTTTTCTAAACATCACAACAAATAAAACAAAATGCTTAAATTTCCTCAGATGTTGGTACAGTATTACAATATCTCACAGTAGTTATCTTTTAACTACTCAAACGTTCAACAGAACTTAATTCAAAACAGCTAGAGAAAGATAATCCGTGAATTCGCAACAGTCTACAAGAGCAGTTTTCTAAACACACTCTTAAAACAGCAACTAACTAAATAACTAATTGAGAGTTTTTCCTACCGCCTATATAAGCGTTTTAAATGCGCGATAATTTCATGGTATTTTCTCGAAATCATTAAGAGATATTTATTTATTAAAAGTTAAATGCACGTTTTCTTGTATTTTTAATTTTCCGGCTTATCTTGCTGATAATATTCGTCACTCGCTGCACTGCACGGGGAATAAAACAATTTTATTTATAATTCTACTAACATTAGCTATTTAAATACCAAATCCGTAACAATATAATTTTTTTAAATAGTTTTGGAGAAAACGAGATAAAAGTGGAATATTTTTTAAATGTAAATTACATAAAGGTGTATAAATGTAAGCCCCTAGCGCATCACATATTGTGAATATTTGTAAAAATTACTTCACTAAGGTAATGTCCGACTTTGGTCTCACAAATTTCGTCTAAGTTCTGCATATTACAAAGGCCTTAAAAATGAATATATATAGTTAGAACGTGACCGGGCACCTTTAAAAATTAACCAAAAAATAGTCTAAAGTTCTGAGTAACCTTCATATTATTTAAATATGAAGGTTTTGCGGCAATTGTTAGTGACGCGATGTGACGCGATGTTGTCAACTTGCATAGCTGCTAGTCGAGAGTTCTGAGTCTAAATCTAGCATCTGCGAGTTCTCGTTTTAAGAGCATTTTCAACTTTTTAAATATAATTTAGCTTTGAAAAGTTACGAATGTAAAATATTCTTAATTATTTACTATAAAAATAATATTTTATAAAAAAATGTACAAATCTTCATTTATTCATTATAACTCGCCGTGATTTTGTATAAAGTTGTTTGCAACTGATAGAGAATATATAGTTATATACTATTACTGAAAGTATTTATAGTAAATTGATTTTATTTTAAAATATATTTATGGGACTACAGAGGAGGAAAATGCCAATCTATGTAACATAGGCGGCATCGTGTTCACAAAAATCTTTACCCGGCCTTTATTTTCTGAACCATTGGTCATAGATATTGTTGATAAAAGCCCAGCTGCGGTGAGATAGCTTTCTCGCAAAGCGGGGTTAGGGTTGCCATATTTGGCGGGAAATCCTTCATTTGGCGACAAAATTGGTAGTAGGCCACCGACGGAGCGAGAACATTCCAGAACGCATTCTTAGCGATTTTCTCGAGATTATTCTCGAAGGTAGATTAGAGCTATATATACCCTGCCTGTACGTGGAGCAAGTAGTATCTTGGGTTCAGAAATTAGCTCGAGAACGATCGATCGAGTCGGAAGGTATACTTTAGTGCTTTGCCGTGAATCTATATTCACCGTTATAGCCGGAAAGCTGTGTTGCTGAGTGTTTCAGCGTGTTTATGGTAGTTTTTGGACGACTGTAAACGAGTATTTGGAACTGTCCTGTGTAATACTGGAGAATAAATTGTTGTTTGATTCTTAATAAAATGTCAGCATCAATTACTCCAAATCCACGAACCCGCAGAACTCAACAATATGTATTAGTTTTAGTTAATGTATTAAATGATGTAAAAGCTCACATTTTCGTGTTTCGAAGTTGAAGAAATCAGTTTCGTATAAAATATGAAATTATTAACATTTTACACGTTTCCCCGTTCCCCGTACTTATAGTTATGAAAATTTTATACGCTATGAAAATAAAGCACAAAGATGTGATTACAGTAGCAGAAAAATTGACTGAGCTATTTGATATTATAAAGCCCGAAATCAAATTTAGGGGCCGTATACAAATTAAAAATGTAAATAATTGCATATATACGTAAGTTAAGATAAATATCAGTTTAGAAAAGCGTTTCTGATGATAAGAGATTAAATGGTGAGCATTTTTATATAGTTGTGATTATTGTGAAAAATATGATTCAATATAAAAAGTTTCAAAATGGAATTACTATTCTTAAAATCTTACAGAATTCGTAATTTAGAAAACACTTGCAGGCTTCCATAATGGTATGGAGCCAGTCCATAATGGTCTTTACGTTAATTAAAGGCCAAAAACATTTATAGTTTAAAGAACTATTTTAGGATTACCGGATTTTAGGGTACTGGAGAAAATATCAGTTTAAAACTGATATCTTCGTCACTTTAAAAACTTTTATCCTTTTCAACACAGTTTCCGGCTCACGGCGAAGAGCGAAAACAGCCATAACGCTGCTTCTACAAAACAAAAATATTTGGGGAAAGCTAAAAATACAAAGTTTATAATAAAATAGTAAAACGTGTTTTGAAAAATTTCATCAAAATTGACGATTAGAACGTGGTCGGATGGATACTTTAAAGCTATTCAGACTAAGATTATCCACATTCCTTGTAAAAATAAAATGGAGAGGACATTGATTGTTATTGAAAGTTCCAAGAAATGTGAATCACAAAATAATGGGAGAAAATTTGCGTTTGCAATTTGAATGAAAAATAAATCAATGAAATTTAACTTTGTAATCATAACAGTAGTGTACATTACAGATTGCATCAAATATTATTGGAAAAATAGAACCAAAATTCTTGATCGCAGTGGACCATCATCAAGACAATGGAGTGGATTATAATATTATTGAAAATCTACCCGTTATAGTGAAGAGTAAGTATATATATGAACTTCAGTTTTGCTTTTAAAGCAATATGTTTGTATGTTACAAGAATGCATGAAATGGTTTTGTAGAATACCTAGGCATTTTAAAAATGCCTTGGCGTTTTAAGGAAAAGTTTGAAACATGAGAATTATTATATGCTTTATCTCGTCATTGTATACAATACCTAGGCATCCTATACAATGACAAATGCTCTTTAAGCAAAGTAAAAAACGGTTATGATAAGGCTGTAGTTTAAAAGACGTTCATTTCTCAAAACCTCAAATATTAATTTGAAAAAAGTAGTAGTCGTTTTAACATTTTTACATTATTTATTAATTTCTGGTAAATAGTTTTGGTTACTCGAAACGAATAGAAGGTGTATTTCCTACTTTGCCGGTTTGTCATTTGGCATTCTATAGAATGCTAAGCAATGTGTGAAATATTTAATGATTTCATAGATTGCCGCCAGTTTTCGGCATTCTATAAAATGCCTAAGTATTCTATAGGATAGTAGATTTCATACTTTGCCGTAAACATATATATGTTAAGTCTAAAGTACTGAGTGACTTATAAATTGCTTACTTGTTCTGAATTTTAAAAAATATTCCATTAATACGAGTCCACCAGCGGCGGAGCGGTAAAGTCGCTGAATACTGGTAGTTCGGTCCGAGGTTCGAATCCCGCAAACGGGCTGGCTGCATGGGTGTTTTCGTGGTTTTCCCCATATGTAACGTGTATACGAGCCAATTTCCCTTAGACAGTCCTCCACGAAGGCATCCCTACCCTTCGGCAGATAGCCCTAGTGTGCTTTGCCATAATTAAATACACCAATACACCCATTAAATACGATTTTTCATGCAGAATGAATTTTGTTTTGTATTTTTCAACACTGAAAATATTTTAACAAAGTTTCCGTACAATGGAAACATTTTAGATATTGTCATTTCGTAAAATGAAAATATCAAACCTTCCAAAAATTTAAACAATATAAAAAAATTGCGTTCTTTATAATATTTTGGGTATTTACGTACCGTCCCTTTGACAGCGAAAGTTTGCGGAAATTTCGCCAAAGCTAGCCAGACCTTCATATTGTACTCTGAAGGAACTGCCGCCTCTTTATTTAAAAACGACAAGTATTGGACCCACTTCGTTTTTGCTCTATGTAGAAAGACTTTAATTGATTTCTACTATTTTGTAGATATGTTCCTGTACTCAGAAGCTCCTGAACATTTTTTTGGAGGGAGACGTTTTGAATTTGAAATTTAGAAAATAATTGACGGTCTTTGGAAGTGGTCAAGGGATCTGATTTACACTGAACACACATTAGGTTCTCATCCTGAGTTCACAAGTGCAGATGAGGTGACCTCGCCCACACATTGCGTTTTGGCTACTAGTCGCAGCCAATAGGGTCATGGCCAAAACGCTAATCTGTAAAGCTAATATCATAATATATTATATTATTTATTATATTATATTATGTGTAATGCTAATATCACAGATGGTTTCTTTGGTTCATACGTATTTCCGAATCATGATATTAAAGAAGCAAGCTTCTTCAGACAGTACATTTTCACACGGATGCAAGCATAAAAGAGCGTAATCATATTTCTGCTAAAGCAATTACACTAATTTGAGTTTTCTCGGAACAAAATTTTGATTAACATTAACTCATTGGTGAAAATTATTACTGCGCTGCTGAAAACAATGAAAAATTATTATTGCCAATTTAACATATTTTTCATAACTGCAATAGAGATTAATTATTCTTCCTGTTTCATAATTTTTCTGAAGCTTTTCTCAGCAAAATGCAAAGAATTCATCAATATGAATTTCAGACGTTATGCAGCTGTTACAGAAGAATGTTTAACTGCTGAGATTAGGCATACAGATGCTAAAAGTTTTGGATGTAACAAATAGCTTTGGAAATACGCGTAATTTACATTTAGTGTTCCACTATGATCATGCAATATTATCGGCTATTAGGTTTCGGACTGTTCTTAGTCGGGAAATAAAAGTAAAATGTTTAAATTTAATATTTATTTGAATTATACAACAGTTGTTAAATATTTTGTAAATAATGTAGCTAGAAGAAGCAATTCTGAAATACTTTTAGGTTGTCCTACTTTACAGAAGATTATTATCATTCCTTCTAAGGTGGAAACGAAAATCGATGGCATTTCACATATCGAAAAAAGGTACTCTTTTATTATTAGCATTATCTTAAACACGTTTTATTATTTGCATTACATTATACGTTTTATAATGTTCCACAAAGCATTTGAAATACCTCAAAATGTGTGGTAGATCAATAGACATGGAAGCATACCTAGATATAATAGACATTAAAAAATATTGGGTTATGAAAATAAATACAGGTGGAGGGGACCGAAATGAGCAGATATCCCCTTGAGAGCCTATGGACCGAATCTTCGCTCGGAGGTCAAGCGATATGCATCGCTGCTAACCGATCTATTTTATCTATGGGGCTTCAACTAAGACAGTTACTCAAAGGAGGTACAGAGACCGATTGCTGAGTACCTCCTATGAAGAGTTCTTTCGTTTCCCTTCACGGTCCATAGATTAAATGCATGTTGGTAAGCTTCGCCTGCCGCCCAATGGTATAGAGTTTAGCTTCTCTGAATGCCGTTCCGAAGGGCCTGGGTTCCCGTCTTCGATAAGGCTTGGACATTTGTAAATCTATAGTGCTCTTGCGGCATCCTAAATATGCGGCGAGCGGAACGTCATCTCGAGAGGTTGATGGTAGGGAAAGAGTGGTGGGGAACCCTCAGACCCGTCACCCCCGGTGTATTTTTATGCTCTTCATTAAAATTGGGAGCGGAACTATGCTAAATAGCACCGGCACCTCTAAGGTGAAGGTGCTTAAGACTGTTGCAACGACGAGCCTAAACCTGTGCTTCTTGCCACGAGGAATTCCATGGCTTTGGTTGACTATGAATCAGACAAGTGAGCATTAGCAACATCAAGAGACTCCGCCTTTGTGCAGCGATGCATACCGCTCGAAATCCAAATGGAGATGGATGATTTACGCCAGCAGAACGCGTTTACCCATCTCTCAACAATGTCATGTGCCACTTCAATATTTCATTTCCGCATATATATGCTTCATTAAAAAATATATTTATTACGGTCTTCTTTACATTTTTGCCAGATATTTGTGAATCACTCTGTAGCTGCCCTACATATATACTCTTTCTCTGAGTGTATACGAACATCTGGGATTTGTAAATTGCATCTAGACAAATTAAAATCATATAGCAAATGCAGGATAGGAAACACGACCTTCATGCAGCAGGTGGTTCTTTTTGGCCGTGAGAATGCCGACACGTTCTTACAATATACCTTCATTTGTAAGTCTGCCACAGAGTTATTAAGAGCTTGAGTTCACTAAAAATGACTTGAAAATTAATAGATATACAGCGATTTATATCATGCACCTCTACACCTACTTTATTCACTACTACACTACTTCCATAAGTTAGTGAATGGTATCAGACTTACTGACAAAGACACGTTACTGCACCACCTTTTGGCTTATATTTGGTAAAGAAAGATTACTAATTTAATAAAAAGTAACGTTCTCTTTAAGTCTGAGACGTGATAGAAAATGTCCAAAATGTACGCTAGCCCATGCGCCAAAGGCATCAAGCGAGTGTTTCAGTTCATGGTTGAGACTTCAAATAACTTTTCTGATCTCAACGCATTTTATAGATCTTTTCTATACAATGAAAAGTATTTTGTTCGCTTATGTGATGCTCTTTCATTTATTGTGCTCTCTATACATTAACACATGAAGTTCACGCTTGTGATCTTGCACTGCTATATGATTCTGAATTGTTTTTGCGAAATCTATCCTTCACAGAATTTTGTACGTACTTAGCAGAATCTCTTTTATATAAAACCTAAATTTTCTTTAAAAAAATCTTATCATGATTTTAATATTTTAGCCTTTCAACCACATGATAGTAAAATGCAACACCAAATGCTTGTTTGAACCTTAAGTTTTATTCTTGTTTCGTGATACAATCTCGTAATTAATATAATAAAATTTGAGCAGCATTATATGTCAACGCGCTGTTTAATCTTCCCTATAGGTTTCATTTGTTATATTTCTTACTTTTCCCTAGTATCTTTCTCGAGGACTTTTTGCGAAGTGGACGAAATCCGGATGGTAGCATTCCAGACATAATATTTGAGCAACTTTCTTATAACCATCCAGCCTTCCTAAACTTTACCTCTGGGACTGTAGGCCTTCCGAAAGGGGTAGTTCATTCAGCAGGGGTAAGAATATAAATGTATTTGAGATTTTATAATGTGATTCTCTGCATGAAACTTTAAACCAATATACATACCTATTATATACAGAGATAGATAGGTTTACAGAGGTGTATCCCAACCTCCAAAAAAAGTTACAAATAACAGCATTTGAAAAGAAATTTTTCAAGGAGAGAATAATTTTCCCCTAGAATGTAGATAGATGGCAATCGTTGTCTAGAAATGTTATTACGGCTATGTAGAGTAAGTTTGCAGACGATTGCAGTGATTGAAATGTCGAGACGTTAGAGTAGTGGAGGGCGGGGTCTTTGGAGGTGCGAGCCTTCATTCGAATTTCTGTTCAAGTATCTGGAGCGTGGCCGTACCGTTTACTGCAGATCGCTACCGTGTTACTTTCACAAGGTTCTGTGAAGCCAGCCGAAGCAAGAGCCCTGACACGCTGAATGATGATGTCTCCTCCGGCAGTCCCATGCGCGCTAAACTCAAGAATTGCTGCAAATGTTCAGGTGAGAAGTTTGGAGTTACCCCTTACATAACCCAGATTTAGCACACAGTGCCTATTTCCTCTTTCCGAAATTCAAGGAATATTTATCTGGAATGAGGTTATCTTCAGATAGTGATGTGAAAACAGTTACCGAGAACCGACTCAATGGGCAGGGATGTGCCACGCCGGGTCAAAAAAGTTAGCCCTGGTTTCAGATAACTGCCTAGATAGATTTGGTGATTATGTGGAAAAAGGCATATAGGCATTATGATAGACAAATATGCCTCTTAATTCCCTATTGTATTTTCTGTTTATTGGTGATAAATAATTTTTATTACCGTTTTAACCTTTTTTTTTAATTCACCCTCTTATTAATGTTTTATATACTTATATTAAGTACTGCAGCAGTTATATTTATAACATGACGCAATTATAGCTTTCCAAGAAAATTTTCTCACTTCTGTATGTCTCTCTACTTCTTTGTATTAATATACGCAGGTATAAAAATTTGAGACTAGTTCTTGCATTCAGAATGAAGTGGCCCTACAAGTACTATATGTGCTTTCTTTTCCAAGCATCAAATTGAATTACAGTTCTACAGTCTTTAATAAACGACACAAAAATATAAAATCCTTCTTTTTGGTAATATCCTTTTTAAAACTGATGATGTGATGTTTTTCGTTTCTTGAACAGAAGCGAACTCTACGCGCAAATGCTTTTCTCGATGTTGGAAATGCAAAGAAATCACTTGGCGCTTAGTTATACTAAGGGTATTTCAAATGCTGTCCTATCTAGGTTGGGGCAAAAGTCATGGCAACTTTTTTTTTTCTTGTAGATATGTGAACGGATCACAAAACGTATATGTGTCGTATGGAAGTTCTGCAGGCATAGTGTGTATGCAGAACAACAGATGGCTCTGTGATAGCTGGCTCTGTGGTAGCGAGGGCTCTGAAATTAGTCAGTTGGTGAGTGTCGTGCGAGATGGAAGTAACCCGTGTTGAGCAGCGCGCATACATCAAAATAGCCGTTCTCTGAGGGAGAAATGCAATGGAATGTCACAGTAAATTAGTAGAAGCCTTTGGGGAATAATGCCCTGCCATATAGTACAGTAGCATGGTGGGTAGGAAAGTTTCAGCAAGGACGTGTGTCAACCAGTGGTGAGCAACGCTCGAGACTACCGGTGAGTGTGCGGTCCGACTTGCCACATGCCGTCATCGAATACCTCATGGATGAAGACAGACGATGGACGTTACTTGAGTTAGAGAGGGCAAGTGGCATCGAGAAACTCACCGTCCACAGGATACTGCGTAATGAGCTACAGCTACGCAAAATCGCTTCGCGGTGAGTACCGCATGCACGGACGTAAGTTCAAAGGTGTGTGCGCTATGCAATATACTCCGACCACTTTGCACGCTGGCAACAGGACGGCGATCAATTCTTGTCATGAATAATCGCCATCGATGAATTTCGGGCCAGAGCTTGCGAACCAGAACTGAAACGTCAGTCCGCGAGTGGCGACATCCTGGATCACCAAGGCAGCAGAAGGTCCGTCAGAATCCTTTCCCCTGGTGTGACAGGTACGACGTGGCGTTCGGGGAAAACGTCCGGATCTTTTGGATAGTGCAATGATTATGCACGACAATGCAAGACCACATAAAACAGAGTTACGGCAGCTACTCCGACGTAGGGGATGGGAAAAATTGGAGCACCCATCGTACTCTCCTGACCTTTCGCCCTGTGACTTGATCTCATTCCAAAGATTAAGGAACCAATACGTGATATTCGGTTTGCAGCACGAGAGGACATTGCTAATGATGTGCGTCAACAAATGACCCGATTCACACATGGTGCGGCAAATGCTGAGACTGATGGTGTTCAGTGCCTCCCACAACGTTGGCAGCGTGGGCTGACAGTAGCAGGGGACTACATTGAGGGTCTTCAGGCCCAGGTTTGTCATGTCAACTTCATGTGTATTGTGTTATCATTCTTTTGCACAGTGAAGGCTATATTGCCGTGTATACTAATTAAATTCGTGTGTTACGATATTTTAGTGCTATTCATTGTTCACACATGTAGTTAAGACCTTCTCCTTTCGTCTGTGTATGTCACATTTTCCAACCGGACTGATATCTCCAAGGGAAAAAAAATAGTTGCCATGACTTTTGCCTGCAGATAATTTAGCTACCTTTTCAATGATGTCTGATTTTCTTAATAGTAATATATTCCCTAAATTAGGCACTTATTAGCGTTCAAAGGATTATTTTATCATTTTCATCTAACGATAAGATACAAATTGAAGGGCAGCCTCTCTTTCTGATTTTGTATAAACTTTAAGCATAATTGCACGTTTGCGAAGTCTTAGCAGACGTTTCGAAATAAATATTAAATCGAAGATGATTCACAAGTTTCCAAAAAATTTGTATATTTCCGTTGGTTTCATCATGTTTTTACCTTTTATCTGAATTTTTTATGCGTTTATTTCGGAACACTTCAGTAATCTTATAATTACACACATCTACTAACTACAAATATTTATATTACTGTGAATTATTTTAAATGACAGAATTATTTTTAAAATGTTAGGGTGTAGCCTTGTTATATTTCATACTTAAAAATGTTTAACTTGGCATAAAAATACTCTCATAAATAATCTTAAAATAGTTTTCATTTACACTCTTTGCTAAATAACCTAAGAAAGCATATTGATAGCTACACAATGTGTTCATTTGTTTACTCTAAATTTTTACTGGCTTCGTTAACTTTTATCGCGCTCTGTGTGCTTATGAGTTAAAAACTAGATACATTTAGGCAGCATCAGAAGGACTTTCAAGTGTTTAAGGTACGAGCTTGTAATATATCAGCAGAGGATTTATTTTGCTTTCATGTTTTAAACTTCAAGTCAACTATTTTCATTATTTTATGTTGAAGTAATCACTTAAAATTATTTCAAAAATCATTGCTGGATCAATAATCATTTTAATTCTATTTCAGACGCTAATAAATCATTTCGAAAACATTACTTTTGACTACAACTTGAAAGCTGGAGACGTTGTTATTTCCTGGTGCCCGGTAATTTTATTTTTAAACATTTGGATAAAAGGATAGAAGTTAAGGGTCAAATTATTTGCCCAATAATCGATAGTTTATGAATATATTTCCTTCAGTAAATTTTCACAATTTAGACAAATTTATAAATATTGCTATCATCCAAATTGGAATCGTTGCTAAATATTGTGATATAAATGTTGCAAAAGAAGAAAGGTAATTAATTATCCATGAGGTAGAATATTGTTGCCATTACTTTAGTACGCAGCATTTGGTTATAATTTGTCAGATATAATTTTTCTAAATATAATTATGCGTTTCCTTTAAAAGCGTTTGCAGGATTTTTAATAAATATCCTGAAGATCAAATATACCTGAGTTAATTTTTAAGAATAATGCTAACAAATATATAAGATAAAGGAAATATGGTGAAATAAGTTTTATTTGTATTATAAAACAATTAGAAATATTATAAATAATTATATGTGGAAACATTATGTAAAACTTAAATTGAGTATTTAATCAGCTCAGTTTCTAACTTAAAGGATTGTTAGAAAAGAATGATCAGAAAGGTATGATTGCAATTATTTCAACAAAATATAATAAGAGCTCAAGAGCTAAAAGTTTAAAACTTTAATATCACGTGAAAATAATTTTAATAAAAGAGTTGAAACTAGCAATAAATAATACCTAAGTTATTAGGATAATTATTATCGTAGCTTAAACAAACGCGCATGCTACTTATATGTGACGGAAACTTTCGGAGCAAATCTTTTTCAATTTCTACTTAATTGTTTATATAGAGAATAAAGATTCATTTCAGGTTATGCAGAAAAGAAATAAAAAAAACTAGTTTTAATAATGCTCTACGTATTTAAGAAAGTGCTTTGTTGAAAGTTTTATGCATTTTAATATCAGGTTGTCCTGAAATGTACAGGATATAACAGAATTAATATGCGCAACTTCAAAGTGTGATAGAACGTCCTTTGAAAAGAAATAATCTCAATACAATGTACAATGGAACGCGGATGCACAGTAAATACTAAGAATTTGGACAATAAAACTTCGTTTTAATCACAGATATTTTCAAGATATAATGTCTGATATTTATAAAAATGTTCAGATGAACAACCATTGACATGCATTTCGATGACAATAAGGCCCACCAGTGGCCGAGTCGCTGAACACTGGTAATTCGGTCCTAGGTTCGAATCCCGAGAACAGGCTGGCTGCATGGACATTTTCGTGATTTTCCCCATGTGTAACGTGTATGCGGGTCAGTTTCCCTTAGAAAGCGCTCCACAAATGCATCCCTCTCCTTAGGCAGATAGCCCTCGATTGCTTTGCCGTAATCAAATAAACCATCAATACAATACAGTGACTAGCGCACATTCTGCGAAATGCCCTTCATGTCCGTACTTTTGCAGCAGCGATCGATGCTGACCCTAAGGTCTTCAGAAAGAGTCAATCTAGGTCTCGCAAATGAATTCTAACATCTGTGGGATGCATAATTTGTAGCTGGCGTTTGTTTATGTGAATAATTAAATTAAAAACAAACGATATTCTTGTAAATGTCTGTAATTAAACCGAATTTTCTTTCTAGTGTTCCTCGTCCTTAATGGATTTCTGTATTCATATTTAATTTTATTTTAAAATTCTTTAAAGCATTAATTTTGTACATATTGCTTTTGTACAATGTAAATTTGTGCTTACTCGTAACTATTATAGTTTGATCATTACTCCTTTTAATTAAAGATACGTTAGCTTTTAAAGAGACTTTAGCATTATACTTTAACTGTATTTGTATAATGCTGAATTAATATTTTTAAGATCTTTATCCTTTTACATGTATAAGATGGGATGGAGCGTTTGGGAGTGCTTCATGCCAAGCCTGGCACTAGGCATTACAATCCTTTTATACTGTGGGAGCCTTTTTTGGATAAGAGATGGAATCAACATATGGGATTTACTTGCCAAATACAAAGTCAATTACTGCTCCTTTTTACCCAGCATGCTGGATAAATTAGAAAATTTTGGAGTAGTACCAAGTAAGTCAAAATAAAACCTTGATTTAAAATTCATTTCATTTACGTTAAGTACTCCTACAGACATACAGTCTAACCTCCATTAACAGACCATTCTAGCTGAAGGGCTCCCTATGCATTCTTTGAAACTTCAGACCCTGAACGTGCTAGACCACGGTATTAGTTCGAACAAATTTCTTGAAAAAGGGGGAAAAAACTTATTCCCATTATTTAGGGAAATTTTCGAGTGCATATGAAAAATAGTACAACCAATAAACTATACTTGCTTCATGTTATATGCAGTGCGATTCATTACTTTACATGTGAATTTCTAGGCGAGATAAGTTAAAGATGAATCTAGATCAGATAGCAATTCAGGTTTTGAAATGCTATCGCAATGCGATAGAGGGAAACCGATGCGGCTTATACAGCTGTTGCCTACATATGAAGCTGCTGGACGAACCACCGCCCTCATCCAGAGCGCTACTGGATAAAACGGATGTATCAAAGACTGAATGACTGCATCAAAGGTCATTTAAAACGGTTTCGTTCGAGACATGTCATGAAACGGGGACGAACGGCACGGACCTCTGGAATTGAAAAGATGGTGCTTCATTAAGTAAATTGTAGAAGATACTCTACATGCAGCACACGAGCAATCGTTGCTCGTTTCGCTTTTCCCCAAACCACTATCTGAAGGTCCTTTGATCCGACGGAATTGCACGCATACCATAAGCAACGCGTGCATCTAACTGTAAACTGATGATTACCGACAGACAGTTGCTTTTTCTGTACGGCAACTGCAGAAAATGTGGCAGGTCCCTTTCTCTGGCTTTTCATCTTATTTACAGATGAGGCATAATTCACCATGGAAGATTGACACAATGTACAGCCATCGGATTCATGGTCGGCGAAGAACCCCATTTACATGAATATGTGCAGCGCAAACCAGTTGGCAGTCAGCGTTTTTTAAAGCATTGTGGTAGACCATTTAATAGATTGATATTTCTTGCCTTTTCGTTTGGACAAACAACGTTACAAGATATTGTGGAGGAAGTCTTGCCGATCTAATCAGATCTAGCCATCGCTGCGCTGTGATATGCGATTCCAGTATGATGAGGTCCCAGTCCATTTTAATCGTGACGTCTAGGAACACATAAATGCGACATTTGGAGAACAATGAATCTGGCGCTTTGTCCCAACCATTTGATTGCACGATTACCAGGCGTATCCTCTCTGTATTTTTGCTGAGGTCACTTGAAAAATCTAGTGTAGATTACACCCGTGGACAGTAAGAAAGATCTTGGCGTACAAGCCTGCTTAATACCACAGCCATCCAAGAGATACCAAGAGTATTTCATAAATTCCATGATTCCATACTGCACTGATATCAGGCTTTCGTAGTAGCTGTTGGCAGAAACGTCGAACAGGCTCTATGCTGCAGTGAATCAATCTATATAACTTAATATTTAGTCCTTAACACTTTTAATATAGTACTTGTATTAGACCTGAATAGTTAATTACTGTCAATAAATTAGTTAGTTCTTTTGCTAAAAAAAAATTTTTAGTTAGAATACAGCGTAGCTTATTCTTATCCTATTGGATTCTTATCCTATTCTTATCCTATTCTCTCCTTATCCTATTGGATAAGGAGAGAAACGCTCACTTGGCCATCTGGATTCGGCTAAACAACATGCCAGAGCATGTATTAGATCTGAATAGTTAATTACTGTCAAATTAATTATTTTGCTATAAAGTCCACTCATTAGTTTAGAAACACTAGTCACAGAATCATTACTTGCTACTATTAAATCATGTACTATTGTTTCTCCAGATGGCCAAGTGGGCGTTTCTCTCCCTATTCAATATGTGGCGCTGTATTCTAACTTAACAGTACTAGATATCATTCATGTTTCGTAAGTAAATTTTAGGCCTATCATTAAAGCTTTAATGTTATTAAAAATACGTGGTAGAATTATCGAGGAAAAGAAAAAAGAAATCGCACTTCTTCCCTAAACGAGATAGCAAAACAAATATAATCCAGATCTTTGAAAGAATTTTAGAATGTGTATGGTATACGCTTTATTTTATTATTATTATTATTATTATTATTATTATTATTATTATTTTTGATGTAGAATACGTTTTCTCTTTTAATTTTTGCAAGAATTTAGAAAATGTACAAAATAAATTTTGTTTATTTTAATCTGCATAAACTTCTTTTTTTTCCTTAAAATAATTTTACTATCATTCATTTCTAAACTAAGTAGTAATGTAAAGTCATTCATAAATATTTTTAAAACTCTGATAGTGTACAGTGTAAGCTGAATTTGCACTTGTTTATTTGCCGTATAATCAATCCGATAGATTTTACAGATTTTTCTTGTTATTCTAGGTCCAAACTCTAATTTAGAAAATCTGAGAATGATACTCATAGGTGGAAGTCCGGTCAAAGTTCAAAATATCAAGTTCGTCCAAAGCATAGTTGGAAAAAATACTTTCATCGGTATTTTATATGGTAAATCCAATTAAATATTCTATCAGCTCGCTCATGCTATTCAGTGTTATATTTTAAATATATTTAATCATTATAATGGCCAGTTTCCTAGTAATTTCGTACTTCAGTTTATAATTTTCTTCTTGGAATACGTAATCTCTCACCTCAGGTCAGACTGAAGGGCGGTGTACACCCAGTGTTCAACCACACATCATGTGCGAATATTCCATCTGCACTAGCTATTTAGACACACGGCAGGGCCTCAATATTGCATATTCAACTTTCTAATTTTCGAACATATTATCGAACAATTATCAAACACATCACCAAACCTTTTCTTTCCGATATCACACACAGAGTTCAAATCGAAAGTTCTAAGCTTCATTGTTGTTAACAAATTAGGAATCAAAACACAAAAAGGAAATGCGAGCATCACAGCGCGTTTCCGTTAGGAGAAGAATCTGAAAAAGAAAAGATATTGCTCTTTGGGGAAAAGGAGATTGTTCTACAGAGAAGAATTGCTCTTTGGGAAAAAACAATGGCCTGTGAAAGTGAAGATTACATTACAGTTTGGGAAGGAATTGATTTAAAGCTTTCAAGTAGGGCTATGAAAACCAGAGTTTCACTTCATGTGCACAAATAACAGTCGTATTTAATTAGGTAGCTCGTCTAAGGAACCATTCTCAGTCATATTACTTTACTTAATTTCTTGAATAACGGCTAGGCAGTTGTTAAGTGCTGCGGTTTCTTGTGCACTGACAGAAATAAAGCTCTTGCTAGATTTACTGGGTTGGTAAGATAGAGAAAGGTTGACCGGAAAGAGTATGAATTCATGAAGTCTAAACATTTTCATATTAGCATGCTTGCACAATGTTTAACTGAAATATTACGCAGGCATTTCGAAAAGTAAAGATGCACCGTACGCCAGAGGAAAAGAAAAGTTTTGGTGAGAAAGTTGGAAACACAGGTGTTAACCTTGAACCGTTAGCTTTCTCCTCACGGTCGTTCGGCATTTCAACGTTGTTTCTGGTTGGAGTAGGTCGTGTTTAAAATGGCTGCGCCGATTCAGAATCCCTCTAATTGCGAAGTGCGCTCCGTCATATGTTTTCTTCATGCATAAGGTCAGCGACCAGCGGATATTCACAAAGAAATTGTTTCTGTTTATGGGAACATTATGAATCGACAAAATGTAACGAAAGGGTGTCGTCATTGCTCTGAAGGTAGGATCGATGTTCATGACGAACAAAGAACAGGTCGGCCATCTGTGATCTCTGATGCCCTTCTTCAGAGAACAGAGGAAGCAATTCGTGAGAATAGACATCTCAAATTGAAAGAATTGCATCAGCTCATACCGGAAGTGTCAATGACAACTCTTTATGAAGTTATGACTGTCAAGTTAGGGTACAGGAAATTGTGTGCGCGCTGGATTCCAACAGGCGGCAACCTTCTATGACTGTGGGGTACAAAAGCTTGTGCATCGACTTAACAAATTTTTGGATAACGGGGGTGATTATGTCGAAAAATAAGAAATAATCCAGTTAATAAGATGTAACTGACGTTTTCTAAATAGATGTTTTTTTAAGGAATGTGAGCCATTGTACTTTACTTTTCGAAATGCTCTCGTAAATAATTACAGTTAAATATGTTACTATTAAATATCGAAATGAGTTTTACAAATTTCAGTAGCGCTTATTGTTATGTAGTATTGACACAATAAGAACGTTCATACTCATGAAATATCCAACAGACAAAATGTTTATTAAATGAATTTACTGCAACTTACTAAACTGATTTACTATAAGGCAGAAGGTCTATGAAGGTTTATGGAAGAAACGCTATCAACGTCTGATAAATCTACGTATAAAACCTTCCGTTTTAAAGTTTTATGTCATGTGGCTGGCGCTTTCTGTGACTTACTTGAAAGAAGCAAATTGAAAGGGACATTCGCCTTCCTTCGCATTTCCCGTAGCTTAGAGACTTTTATTTTGTTTATCTTTTAAACTCAAGAAATCTTTAAAAGCAGAGCCGTATCTACAGGGGAAAACGTGAAAGGCAACTGTAAGAGAAAATGTAAACTGTAAGGGAAGAAAACACGAAAGAGGGACAGGAAGAAGTCAGCGAAGAAGATATCTGCAGAATGAGTCATAGAGGCGGAAAGACTTAAACGGACTAAGATTTTGAGATTTTCTATGCGATTTTCCCAAAATAAATAGTAAAAGAATAAAAAAATAAAGCAAAAAGGAAACTGAATATGCAAGGTGAGTCATTAAAGGAACTGGGAAATATGCTGTTAATTTAGCGGGCAGAAAGCTAGTTTCAGTTTAATGATGTCATCACTGAATCGGAGAGTGTTTTAACACTGTCTGAGTAAAAAGAATTATAACTATCTCTTTCTAAAAAAGAAGCTGATAATGTGTGGAAGTCCCATTATAATTTTAATTAAATTCCTCCTTAATTTGCAAAATGTACGTTGCTCATTTACAAGCGCTAAAGAGTTCATTTTTCACAATGTGTAGAGCCTTCGCTTTTATTGATTCGTGTTCTCTTATATACTAATTAGCACGAGCAACAGAGATTTCTATGTACTATAACATCATATTGGCTTTATCTATAACAGCAGTTAGTGATATAAAATTATATGCTAATAATATATTTCTTTCAGGAGCGACAGAAAGATTCGGTCGCTTCACTGGGGTTGACTTGAATTTACCTGCCTATGCTGGAGAAATCCAAGTGCCTGCTTTGGGGATGGATCTCCGTATTGTTGATGAAACAGGTAAGGATATAAGTATTAGTTTGGCAAAAGGCGCATTTCCTGATAAATAATTTTTAATGCGTGCTTCGTAATGTCCGTTTACACATGCTAAAAGGAATTAATATATGGACCAACCAATTTATGGAATATTAATGAAATACTGTTGTTATCGTTTAAAGCTGATTATAAATACCTTTTGATAAAAATTTATTAGTGAGAAAATCTGTTTCACTAAATAGAATTTTCAGTAAAAAACTGCATCTCTGCAATCATAATTAGATATTCTTAATGGTTGTTGTAAATTTTAATGTTTAATTATAGCATCTTATGGTTTATCAACTTGTTATTAGTGTCAAAAGCAACATCAATTTACTTCTCTCTTTGGAAAATTGTTATTTAGGTTTTCTTCACAGTTATATTTCTAGGGGGAAAATACACAATCAACACAATCAAATGCTGTCATTTATCAAATTTTAGTTGTATTTCCCAACGGAATAGGTTAGCCACTCTGGCTAATTGTTTTGAAATTTCTGTGGGATCTAAACATTGGTTTAACCACACTGAGTTTATTCAAACTACTGAGATCTAACTGTAAAGTATATAAATTTTTCATCCTAGGTCAGCCTTTAATTGGTGAGAAGGGTGAAATAATATTTTCGCCACCATGCCCAGGTTTTCCTGTCTGCTTGTGGAAGGATATTGATCACACTCTAATAAAGGAGATATATCTCTCTAAATATCCAGGTAAAACATTTTTAGACAAATTCTTCATTGAAAATGAATTTGATCTTTATTCTTTAAGAAGTATGTTTAAGAAGATAGACCTTTGGCTTGCCATGATTTTGTTCATATGACACATTTTAATACAAAGGTACACTAAACCTGAATTTTATTTCAGACACCATAGGAAAGAAAGTCATTCAGACAATTACTTTTAATTATTCGAGCGAGTCTTTAAGAAAGATATCTTTCTTAACACGATCAAAACTACATAAGCAATCAAAATGAAAATTTACGGTTCGTATACAAATAATTTCTAAACACCACTGTGTATACTAAGGTTTTTAATGGGGACAAGTAAAAGATATTTTTTAAAAATTAGAAAACAGCCAGTTAATAAGCTTAATTTTAAATTAAAATTTATGAAATATTAATTTTGTAGTTAACAAAATTTAATTTTATACCATTCCTTCAGTCGACCATTATTATTAGAAAACAGCGTATTTGTAAGCTTATTTTTAAATTAAAATTTGTGGAAAATGCTGGAATTCGAGATTTTTAAGGAAATTTTAATTTTATACGATTTAGCCGATTCTTATCATTGAGTGAAAGTTATTCTACCTCATATAATTTTAATAAAGTTTCAAAAAAATTTTGCATGCCACTATCATTTTCTTCCTTTTTGCCTGAAAACCTATAATTGTGAAATTAAACTTAATTGATCCTTTAACTAATCTTATTTCAAATTTTCTTACTTAAACGAATCTTTGTCTTCGTACTTAATAAACAGAAACACAAAATAATTAGTAAACTCTGACAATTTATTGTATTTAGTAGATCTGTGAGCACTGGTGTTCTTAGGGAAATTCACTTTATCATAAGAAATATCATGCATTGCCAATATCACTTGAAACGTAAGCTCTAAAAATAACTCAGCTAACAGTTTAAATAGTAGTTTAGTTTTATTGAAGAACTGAACCAAAACATTACAAATAATTTGTCCTGGCTCTTGCAGCCTTATTTATATGGTGCTGCACAGGTTTTTGGAAGCTTCAGGGAAAATTAGTCCAACAGCTTCGAAAACGCTTTCTACAGATACTTTCAGAAAATCGCCAAGTCGGCGAGAAACAACCAAATTTCGCCAAAAATCTACAAGACGTATATTCTGGAGTTCTATTTGAGCTATTTTAATAAGTTAAATGTTACTGGAATCAGAGTAGTAATATCTGCAGTTATCTACAAGTAACAAACAAATTTGTGCCCACAAATTTAATTACATACAAAAATCAACCTTAGAGCTATTACTCTGAATGTAATATTAAATACATAAATAAATAAAACAGTGCCCAATATCATTAAAAGGCAGCAAAAATATTGTTACGGTTTTTGTATTTTTAGTAGAATTGTAATTAAAATTGTTTTGTTTCCCTGTCCAATGCAGCGCGTGACGAGTTTTAAGAGAAAACTACGCCGAACGAGTAAAAATACAGGAGCAATCGCATTTAATAAAGAGATATCTCCTAATTTATATTTAAATTGAATAAAAGCAGTAGTGTATTAACTGTAATTCTACTCTTTTGCTTTCCAGAAACCTCGAGAAAACAGAAATTGCCAGAATGTTCTCGTGCACCATTAAAAAGCTTTAAAAAGCCGGAGAAGAACATCTCCTTTCAGTTGTTTACTAAATTGTTGTTGTTTACTTAGCTGCTGTAATTTAGAGATCGGATTAGCTTTCTCTGCGCTTTGAATTGCGTTCAATTCTTCTATTAAGACGTTAGTCTTTGTAGTTTAAAATGTAACCACTGTGTGATATTGTGATATTGTACGAATATTTCTGAGGAAAAATTTCAGCATTTAGTTTTATTTCTTGATAAGAATAAATTTTATTAACTTTTCTTCAGACTAGTGCATTCAATCTATTACGAACCCGTACACATGCAAAAAAAATGAATAAATTAGTTACACGCTAAATTAACATTTAAAAGGATTACTCTGAATGTAATATTAAATAAAAAAATAAATAAAACAATGCACAATATCGCAAAAATGCAGCAAAAATATTTAAATATTCACACTGATTTATAACAATACTAGAAAGCCGGCGGTCATACGAAATGACCGCTGTTCTAGATATTATAAATTTTAATTAAAATAATTTGTGCAAAGGTGTCTGCTAATACAAACTAAATTACCCAGGGCAGGCGGCAAGGACGCCCCTTCGCTTACTGCCCCACGGGTTTCCCAATATTGGGAAATATTGGTTCCTACATAGCACGGGGTATTCTACTTGCTTAATTGCTTGAAGTAGAGTGCAATGAAGGAAACCACTGGCGGTACATTTCTTAAGAGCCACCGCTAGCTCAATAAATAAAGGTGATTTAAATAATGAAATGTTAATTCACATGTCAAAGATCTCTTTCTACACAACATTTCTTGTGTAGATCTTTCCATCATTTTTAAGCTCGCCTTGCAGAGGACCATCCATTATTTTTATTTTACGTCCGTTCTTTCACGAACTCTTGAACAGGCAACATAAAGTTGACCGTCTCCAAATGCAGGCTCAGATAAAGAATTCCAACACGCTTAAGAGTTTGGGCCTGAGACTTATGGATGGTCATAGCAAAGATTTACAGGAAATTGTCTACGTCTCAATTGAAAAGGCAACCCTGTGCCGAGGCATCTTCACCTCATTGGCTAGTACAGTTACGCGAGCAACCAATAAACTATCGGCGACAAACAGACACTTAAGCTGCATATATATATGGGGTGATGTAATATTATCTCCTCCGAAACGACTGGCTCCCGGGCTTAAAGAAGCACACCGTTGGATTCCGCAGGTTCGTGGCACGCCATTTTGACCATTCACGTCTTCTTGGGACTTTACGTTGCCGAGATATTAATTAAAAACTGATTTTCCCCTATGTTTTCCCTACATTTTCCACTTTCTTTCTTGGGTTTTCCTATTAGAGGGATTTGGATACGTGCCAAATCCTTTTCTCGAATATCTACGGAACAGAGCCGAGTTGAAATTCGAGACGTGGGTCCTCGGATTCCAAAAAATTCTCCGAATCCATCGATACATACTCATCTTCGTACGACTTTAATCGGTTGAGATATTAATTAAAAACTGGGGAAATGTTAATTTCCGCGCTTTTTTTTTCCGAGTGGCAACAATAAACTATCCGCGACACACACTTTAGCCGCTTTTACATATAAAGATTTTCATATTTTACAGATGTAAATGTGAATTTCTTTGTATGGGAAATCAAATGGCATGACAGCATACTATTAAAAGACGTAGCGAACTCTTAAATCACTTCAGTAAGCTTTTGCAATGAACGGACTAGGGGTTTGAGTTCTTTTGCACATGGAACAAATGGTCTTTTTTTTTTTTTTCAGGCTATTGGTGCCAACATGATATAGGCTGGATTAATCCAGAAACGAAGGGACTCATAATAACTGGAAGAAGGTAAATAATAAATTTATAATATTATTTGAAAAAAGACCAAATTCATATATTCAACGTTAAAAATAAAGTGTGAAGTTTTACATTCAATAAAGTTTCTTTAAAATTCTACTTGATTAATTTCTGGCCTTTTTTCCTCTAAGACGTGTAATTTCTCATTAAGCAGATTATACGTCAAGTTGATGAGTTAAAAATCTTTAAGAGCTTAAGAATGTAATATTAACAGAGTAGTGCAGAGTAGGTAAATTAGTTTAATTCATTAAATTATTTCCCCTGAACACATACAAGAGCACCTTTTTAATTAGGAAGTGTTTGTTAGTTTTTAAGATTTTTTTTTTTTTGCTCAGTTACGAATTTAATACATGTTAAAATTAATTTTTGCTAATTAATTTGTTTAGGCTCCTTTATTTTGGAAAAGTCAGATAATCGGCTTTTAGTTTTAGCTTCCAGGATTTTCTTCCTTCATTTGAGAGAGACAAAGGTGTTAAGTCATTTTTCAGTACTGTTTGAATTTAAAGACGCAAACTATTGATCTATTTATTTGGAATTTATACAGAGTGTACAAAAAAAATTTGCCTCTGTCTTATTAATCTAGGTTAACTAAATGGAGAAATTATTTGTAAATAAGTTTACATTCTCATTAGAATGGGCAAAGGCTTTTCATGCCTCCAAATCCAAATTTAAGATGCTATTTAAACTTCCAGAGTTGGGGGAATTTGACAGGTGATTTTATGTGCTCTCCTCTCATTTCTACAGGGGGAATTTTGGTTCGAAAAATGTTGGTATTTGTTTTGGTATAGTTGGCGACAAAGAAGACAAGAAAGAAAGAGAAAGAAGAAAGGAATTGAATTGAAGGAATGGAAAAGTAGAAATTTTCGTAGTGCTTTATTCTTGACGTAAGCGCTGAAAAGTTTCACCACTTTTGGACTTCCCACCAGCGGCCAAGCGGTAAAATCTCGAACACTTGTAGTTTCGACCTGAGTTCGATTCCAGGAGAACTGGCTGGCTGCATGGGCGTTTTCAGAGTTTTTCCCATGCTTATTATGTGTATGAGTCAGTTTTCCTTACAATGTCCTCCACAGAAACATCAGTTGATAATAAGTTAATAATGAACGCAAGTTGATGAGTGCAATGAAGTGATTGAGACACAGACAGATTAAGCAGTTTACTTCGTTTATCTCATTAATTCTAATAGCTGCATGTAAACACTGGGCTAATCTTTAGGATATGGTAACAGGTAGTTTGGCGACATTTTGGTAAGGCGATAAAGGTTCCTAGCTAGGACTTTAGCAATAATCTGAGAAGTACACAGTTCAAATCACAGATTATTTTGTCTCAGAGAAATGAGAGATCATGAGACATGTAATGTGACATTTTTATGGAAAATTACGATCGTGATTTTAGCTAATAAGCACTTAGAAAGAATTTCGCTGCTAAAGTGCAGAATCGCCCACTTATTTGTTTGGCGCTTTTTACAAGAGTAAGAAGAATTGGATTTTTGTCAATTTTCTTTGACTTTTTAAGTGAAAATAGGTAGATGTGTACATGGATAAAGTCAAGAGTGAGCACAATGAACAGAAGAAGAAGAACAGTAAGAAGAATTGGATTTTTGTCAATTTTCTTTGACTTTTTAAGTGAAAATAGGTAGATGTGTACATGGATAAAGTCAAGAGTGAGCATAATGCCAGTTTTGTGCAAGACTGGAATTTTTTTTTTTTTTTTAAGTGAAAATAGGTCGACATGTACATGGATGCCGTGTATGTGCAATCCTTAAAAACGCGGCAAGCAGTTTGCGATTCTGCACTTTCTCCCAATTTCGCACCTAATCTTCGTCATGGTTAAGCATTTTTTTCCATAAAAGTTCTAGTATAAGCATAATTCGGCTAGCAGACTGTTGGAAAAAATGTTAAAATGTTAAAAAATGTAAAAAAAAAAAAAAAAAAAAAAAAAAAAAAAAAAAAAAAAAAAAAAAAAAGCCTTTACTTCGTAAAACAAAATGGCGTCCAAAATAAAACTAGCAGGTTGCTGTAGCAGGGTTGGTCGCCAAATTTTCGACAAAAAATCGCCAAGTTACCATAGTGTAAAGATTTACCAAACACTGTTTAATCATAACTTTTAAAAAACTTTAGTTATTTATTTCGTAAAGGAAAATTATTTCAGCTAATTAAATATCACGATGTCACTTATTAAAACAATTAACTACATTTATTCGTTTATCTCAGTCTGTGGTTTTATTTTTTCTAGTGATGATACTTTGATTCAAAATGGTGATCGTTTTGCAGCTGCAGATGTTTATTTTGCCAGTAAGTGTATGCTTTGCTAATCAACCTTTTTATTTTTATTAATTACTGAATATTCAAAGTCATAAAAATGGAAATGATATTTTTCGTTCTTCTTTTTGAATTTTACTGAATCAAAGTGGCTCTCGGAAATAAAGTATTTTCTCGAGGGTTATCGCTAACTTCCATTTCAACATTTACGATTTTTCGAAATAACATTTATAATATTCTGAAAGAAATTCTTTCCCAGAAATTAAACATTTATTTCCATTACTGACTCATGGTACTTAAATTAATATAAACTGCACTGCATTTCGAAATATCAAGTGAATCAATATTTGAATGGATGTTTCTCTTAATTTTAATGGTTTGCATACGATTCTCTATTTACAGTCCATGGAATGGAAGAAATCATGGACTACATATGTGTCAATCAAAGTAGGAAAGATGGTGAGTGCAGAGCGGTACTCTTCGTCAAGCTGAAACCTGGTTATACATTCACTCCTGAGCTTAGAAGGAAGATCGCTCGTACTATCGACAAGGAATTATGGGAAGACTGCGTGCCTCAGATAATTTTAGAAGTGCCAGACATCCCCGTGAGTAGCAATTTTTACAAAAAGAGTGAAAATAAAAAGCCGTGTAATAAAATTAATATTGAAAAGGTAATGCCCTCAAACAATGTGCTAGAAATAATTGATTCTTCTGCTTTAAAGTCAATTCATTCCCGCATCATTAGGAACAACTATTTTTTCCGAATTTTTTTGCGCTGCTTTTTAATTTAATGATGAAAATCGGATTGCGTTTGCAAATATAGTCGAATTTCTACTAAACGGAACCTCAGAATCCTGCGAAAAACTTCACACTAAATGGAGGAATTTCGGAGAAAGAAGACGGTGATAAAACAGTATTGAAGATGAGAAACAGTAAATGTTGTTGTTAATGCTCACTTGCCTGACTTACAGTCAGCACAAGCTCACGAAAATCATCGTGGCAAGGAGCGCAAGTTTAATCCTGTCGTTGGCAACAGCCTTGAGCACCTTACAGGTGACGATGCGATTTAGCTCAGTTCTGCCCCCAATTTTGATGGAGAACATCCCGGGGGAGTGGGTCCGAAGGTCTCCTAGCACTTCCCTAACACCAACCTCTCAAGAGGACTTTTGGCTCGCCGCACGGGCACTCTACATTTGCAAACATCCATCTCCTCTCCGGGATTCGAACCCGTGCCCTTCGGCACTGTAGTCAGCGACGTTAATCACTATACCAGTTGGGTGGCAGAAATAGCAATGAAAAGAAATATGAAAGCAAAATCGCATACGTTGATGTATCCATTCCATCAATATTATGCTTGAAAATCACTTAAGTTAATTTTGAAGCATAATCAGTTAGCTTGTTGTCATTGTCGAACACAACATTTCATGTCATAATAAGTCTTACATCTTTATAATGCAAGGAAAATGTCTTCTGGTACACTTTCTTAAACCGCTTCGAAATGCATCCAATGCGCTTGTACAAAATCATCTCCAGCATCTTCTTGAGACGATTTTTACATTCATTTTCATTAACGTTTACATGCTCTTTATCATCACCAATTGATTCTGGCTGCTATTTTTTATGCTCTCGAATATGGCTTCTTGATGAAGGATTCCTGAGGACTCAGCGCATCGCTTATCTATAAATAACATTGGCACTACTACTATCACTAGTATCTACTTTGGTGATGAAGCCAGCTTTTTTGAAACAAGTTTTTCAGTGACGTCATAATTCCACACTTTTATCAATTCATATATGCAGTCACGAAAATTTATAACACATAAATCCTCATTATTTTTAATTCCCATTATTAGCACCTTCAAATTTCTTTTGCTAAAATACATGTTATCCCTTTCTACCATCCCTTGATCCAGAGGCTGTAGTTTTCCAGCCATAGTTGGAGGGAAAAAAAAGAGCCTTAACATTTTAATACTTCCAGTATCAAAATGTTGAGGGTGAGCATTGCAGCTACTTATCACTAGAGCAATTTTTCATTTCTGTACAGCTATGTTTTTATCTAAACTTTTTAGCCACTTCCTGTAAAATGTCTGACGTCATCCACGAGTTCTTGTTGAAATCATAATCTACTTCCAGCGATGACTAAAAACTTCTGAAAAGTCTTGGATTTTTAATTTATCGTAGAGTTTTCATTTCCTTCTATATTTGCACTTAGCAGGAGAATAACTCTAACCTGCCTGTGCTTGCCTTCGAAACATTTATCTTTTTCGGAATTTTAATGTTCTGTGTGGTAAACATTGATAAAATAACCATGTTTATTCGACTTTTATATATTTTTTGGCTTGTATATTTCCATGATATCTTTTAAAGTTTTCGATCTTTCCATATGATACAGTCATCTTTATTAGCATATTTGCATCCGCTACATATGATTTTTGCAGCTACTCCAAACCTTTTCTTTTTTCTTTGGATTTCGCAAGCCATCCATTGCTAGCATCAAATTCGATTTGTTCTAAGGCTTTGGCAAACTCCCTAACTTTTTCCAGGATCCCTGATACTAGAACATTTTTTCTCATTGTGCCCAACCATTTTAACGTCACTTCTTCAATGTCTGCATAAAAGCAAGTTTTCTTGCATTTGGCACTTGAATCGCTAGAATGAAAGCTTAAATTTTGTCCATACTTTTAAGGACTGTCGATAAACGTTTTTGAAAAATACCGAATTTTATGACAGTTCTTTTCTTTACACCATCAACTTCGTAAAGAATTCATTTGTCTATTTCTCATTTTTCCTTTAAGTGTCAGAGACTTTGATTCCGATAATTTTTATCATTCAACACACACTTTTAAAAACGATTGTAGAGACATTAGTTAACGGGAAGCAGGAGAGATAAAAAATGAGCAATATTCATGCTAGGAATAGAACAACGGACCTCTGGAATACGCGCCCAGAGTGTTGACCACCATACTACGAAGGCAGGAGAAATACCTTATATACTCCCCCTTTTAAAGGGCGACTGGGGTTTTTAGGGGACCCAAACGCCAAATCATGTGTGTGAAGAATCATCATCCGCACCCTTTTAGTTCGGGCGCCACTGTAGAGACATTAGGTTAACGGGAAGCAGGAGAGATGAAAAATGAGTAACGCCCTCGCCGGGAATCGAACCATGGATCTCTGGAATATGCGCCCAGCGTGCAGACCACTACACTACGAAGGCAGGAGAATCACCTTATAAGATCTGCAATATAAAACCAAGAAAAGGAGAAACAAGAATAACGTGAAGATCTTGCTTAACCTTAAGCTGGTTAGAGAAGCAAGAATTTTTAACAATAGGTGGGTAAATATTCCTTCATTTGAGAATATCTATCCCACCACTAGACTACCGTCCATCCGGTAGAATAGAATGTGACAACAGATAACGAGCCACCTGCTTTCTTTAGGACCACGGCCGAACACAGTTATGTGTTGCAGAAAATTAGTAAATAATTTTAAAGTAGAAAGGAAGATCTCGAAAAAACCTTTGTTAAATAGAGAGTGTGCACCGTTATTTGAATCTTTTAGACAAGGAGATGGCATCATTCAAAGAATATTTTGAAGGGAACATACTCTTTGTTGGATAAAATATTTGGAAAAGGTCACATATCGATAACAGATGTTAAATTAATAAAAATAAATAAAAAATAAAAAAAAAAAAAAACACCTCACACTGATATTGGTTTTATGGAAAAGTCTACCGATTCAAGATAGATACAGATTCAAAGTCTATCGATAAGTTTCATAAAGTGATAAGTGCCTCCTTCTTCAAGGAGAAAACACTGGGCATTATTTTACAGTTTTATTGCGGATGTATAACTACGTTTGCTACGAGTGTTCAAATAATTCTTTATATTCATAAAACTCAACAAAAATCAATTGGAATTGGAATGTTGGAAGAATGTTTTTTTTCCTTTTGAAAGAAAAGGAACTTCGTTGCCTAGTTTCCTCAAAAGGGACGGAATTTTCTATAAAACGCAAAGGTTTTATCTAATTTTATATCTGATTTTTTTTTGTACCTTTCTTAAGCAAATAATGATATACATTCGAAATATGTTTGTGATCTTCATTTCGTCCTTCTTTTAATCCGTTTCGCACTGCCATTGCTCTACTTTATTTCTAAAGTTAACTTTGCAAATATTTTATGTGAAATGTTAACCTCAGTAACTAGTGCTTAAAGCATACTGGAGTTCAAAAAGCGCTTCTGAGTCTTTTAATAAAAAATCTAGAATGGACATTTAAGCAGCTGATATTATGAGATGTCACACTAAAGTCCTAACTTTCCTGCTAGTTAGCTTAACTTCAAAGACCTGTTACATTCGTTTCGTTCTTGTCCAACAGCGGCCGAGCGGTAAAGCCGCTAAAACTAGTAATTTGACCATGGTTCCAATCCCGCGATCCGGCTGGCTGCACGGGCGTCTCGTGGTTTTCCCCAAGTGTAACGTATTTGCGAACCAGTTTTCCTTAAGAAGACCACTACAAAGGCCAATAGCCCTCGAGTGCTTTGCAATATCTCTAGGCAAATAGCCCTCGAGTGCTTTGCAATACCTCTAGGCAAATAGCCCTCGAGTGCTTTGCAATATCTCTAGGCAAATAGCCCTCGAGTGCTTTGCCATAATCAAAGAAACCAAACAAAATTTAGTATTAAAAACAAAGTAAAATATTTTTGAATTATATTCGATTATTATGACATTTTTTTATCATTAAAATAACTTATTGTTTAAAGTATTTCTTTTTTTCTTTTCAGTACAGCGTGAATAATAAACGATTAGAAAGTGTTGTTCGAAAGATTGTGGCAAACAACGAAATTCCTCAGATGAACAACGTCCGAAATCCAGAGTGTTTAAAATATTTTTGTAACATACCAGATCTGCTGAATTACGATATCTGAGAAAATTCTGCTCTGCTTTTTTATCCTCTCATTTAATCTATACCGTTGTATTTTGTAGGTTTTTAAAGGAAAGCTGAACATTAAGTAAGTTTCGGCTCATATATGCAAGGATATGAAATATATGCTTAAGTACTTTTATGAAGTGCATAGAAGGTTTTCTGAAATATATTTTCCACCTTCTTGTCAGCAAAACTTATGTGCATCATTTTTACAAAATAATGCTTTTTTTATTAAAAAAATAAACAAATATTACCTATATATGCATTCTAAGTGTTAATTTATTTCTGTAATATTTACCATTTTTACCATTAATTTAATTTATTTACCATTAATTTTGAAAAAGAAATTATGATTTCACCTTTCAAATTTGGTATGGGGTTCAAGAGTTTAATGTATGCATTATTTTCTAACGCTGAAATTTGCTATTGGAAATTTCATACTGAAATTAATCTACGCTTACTGTAACGAGTTTTATAGATTCAAATTGCATACGAAATAGGCTCCCCACGTGTAATGTGCATACGCGCCAGGTTCCTTTAGAAAGTCTTCCACGAAGGCATCCCTTCCCTTAGACAGATACTCTTCGAGTACTTTGCCGTAATCATATAAACCAAACCAACCTACTTCGCCATTAAAAAGCTCTCCAAAGTCAACTAACTGAGCATGGAAAGCGATGTAAATGCCAACAGTTACTTGCCAATGAACAAGATGCATGGTTTGACGTCAGTCTTCTTGTGACCATATTTAGTTTTCCTGCGAATCGTACATATGGTTTCATTTATATTTTTTCTGAACCAGATGCATATTGCTAGACGGATGAAATGAATCCGTACATTCTTTGTCAACTCGAATTTAATATCTAAGATAAGATATAACTTCGCTTTTTTGAGTTTATTCTGTTATTTATAGTGAAATAATAAGATGATTTTTTTTAGTTTAAAAAAATAAAAGAAGGAAGTTTAAAATTTTGAGTATTCTGTCGGAGATTTAATGAAAACTGTTCTGGCCTTTTCTAATGTACTTGATTTTGACTGAAAAGAACATATTTTAAAAAGTCGACTTTTGTTTCTTTCTTCTGAGGTAATTGATATAAAAACATATTTAAAAATACATAATTTTTACTAATGAATACACTTGGGGATAGATTGAAACTTGAAAAAGGAGGTAGAAATGGACGAGATAAACTGTTAATTTAATATTTACCAAAAATTAAACATCGAAATCAATTAGACCAGGAAGAAGCAAACATTATCATCACTGCAATTAAAAATTTGTGCTGAACTCTTTATAATCACAGAATTATTAAACACAATGGAACCTACTGAGTTAACGGATGACAAGAGATAAAAATAAGGATAAAATAAGATTTATTATATATCATTAATTTTCAAATTTTTCTTTTTTATGAATATTAATTAATTAATTTTAAGTTTATACATATGTTACTCTAGAGGTATCATAGTTTTTAAAATGTTACTTAAAAGATATTGTTTTAAAAATCATTCCAGCCGGTGATGGAAACATGTTTGAATAGTTTTACAAAATGCAGACGGTTTCAAGATGAACATTATGCTCACTTTATGTTAGTGCTATAATTTTTTTTAATCAGTTCAATAAAGATTACGAAGTCCAGCTTTTTACGCGTTGCTCCTATACTTATATTTAGAAAACTTTGGTACTCTTTATAAATATAAAACGCAAAAAGTTTGACCCGCGTAAAAACAGAAATTGGGCGAGATATTTGATATGAAATTCGGGAATCATATTCAGGGACCGTATACAAATTGAAGAGGAAAATATTTATAGTAATGCGTAACTAAAAATAAAATATCACTTAAGAAAATATTTTTGATGTTGAGAGGTTACGTGACGAGCATTTCTATGCAGATAAATATTATCAGTATAATTTTGTTTTTCAGAAAGGCATTAATTAAAAGTGAAAAAATCTGATGTGGACACCACATGACTTCCTTGCGCGGCCTATTAAATTATACACATTTTTTGTTGCATTTCCTTAAACGTATTCCCCCGAATTTCGTTAAACATATATTTCTCATTCAATTAATTCAGTTGGCAAGATAAAAAATATCAAAATTCAAATAATCTTTATATTGCAAAATAGAAAAAAACATGAAACAACAAATACAGTTAAAAAGAGTTACAAAAACAATTTTAGAATTAAAATTAAAGTTCTGGTGCGGCCGATTGCAACCAAAAAGGGAGGTGCACAATTACATGTTATGGCAGTCCTATATTCCTTTTTGGTGCACTATACTTTAAATTCGGTATTTCAACAAAAAAAGTTGTATGCAGTCTATCAGGCCTAAAGGAGTATACAAGTAAATTTTTGTAAAAATTGCACTTACCGTTTCAATTGTGTGAGTGTTCCATGAGATGGAACACTGCGCCGCCAGAGCTCTTAAAAGTGCGACAAAGCGAGCATTGTAGTGAAGCACGGAAATGAGTAGAAGATTATGTATAGTAATGAAAAAACACTGTATAATAGTTGTATGTATGATTTTCTGCATATACACAACTTTCTTGTATATATATGGATAAATGAGATAAATATATGTATATACACAAACTCTATATACAAAAATATTTACAAATTTTTCGATTTAATAGCTTCGTGAAGTTTTCAAAGCATGTCACATATTTTTAATAGAACACAAACCAACTTTGCAGGTTTTGAACATAAAACTTGTTTTGTGCGGCTTCTGTTCCGTGCAACAATATGTTTAGATGTTGAACTGCGGTGCTTAACCACCAGAGTGCCTGGGTGCCATAGCCCTACCCCTCATCGAATAACATGATAAAAGTTTCGAATTATGAGAAATATAACTGAATGTGCTAAATAATTAAATGAGCAAGAGTTTAAATTCATAATTGCTAATAGTTAAATACATATTTTTTCCCTAAGTACCTAATTACGAATCCATACATAATTAACTATTTTTAACAACTATTTCACAGAAGAATATATGTACACAGAAGAGAAACAAAATACGAAGTGCGACGCCTTAGTGCCACTAGTAAAAACAAAAAGCAATCAGGAGGAGAAAAAAAAACATTATACAATAAAGAATCTGAGCAACAATTTGCATAACACATATACAAAATTGCACATTACTAACATTTAGGATCCCCCTTGGGCGTTTCCTGAAATTGGGGTCCCTAGTATCATAACAATAGTTAACAACCACAGGATTGTCCCAATATGTTTAGAATTCCAAGTAAAAACTTTAGGCTGTGTAGAGGGGCTTGGGTGAGATGGATTGTCAGTCTTCTCATCAAATAAATGAGTTTCATCCGACATATCATCATCGGATTACACAAGTGGTTCAGGAACGTATATCTCAGTATCGCTGCTATCTTCATGCTCTGATTCAGAATCAGAGGGTAAGTCATGAAGCACTTTTAGCGCTTCGGAAAGATTTAGACCTCTCCATGCCATTTATGGAAAATTAATAATAAAAAATTAACTGCAATTAATATTAACAATAAAGAAAAATAAGCTTTAAGATATACATACACAAGAAATATCTACACATTTATTGTAAATAAACGGGAATGAGACTTAAAAGCGACAGCAAAAAAATTCGCGCGGCTCGGCTAAATAAAGAAGACTCAAACTACTGATAAATTTCCCATCTGGAAAACCTACTCACAAAAATTTCAAGATACCAATATTAGGGCTTTCATAGCACAAACCCCACCTCACCCCTCAAAACTGCTTTGTTTGAATTCATTCCCCTCCAAAACAACGGAAATAGAAAACATATACAACAGATGTTGTCTCCTAAGACAAATGTTCTGATGAGCATAAGATCGCTAAAGGCGCAGTGCTAATAGAACACTCCGTTTTCTTCAATGATTCTGCGCATGCTTTTTGTATAAAATATGTGAAAAAATATATAACAATTAATGTAAAGTACAGCCATCAAAATTATACGGAATTTTGTTTTCAAAAAAAATTTTTTTGTACCAAAAAAAAAAAAAAAAAAAAAAAAAAAAAAAAAAAAAAAGGAAATTTACTAGGAAAAAAGTGGATTTTAAAAACACATTATAAATGAAAATTCTGGGTCTCCTTGTGATATGCTGCTATCTACTATTTAAAAAGAGAAGTTCCAAGTATATTATAAAAGCAGTTTTATTATCCATTTATGGTTGAATTTAACGGTTTCAGAAGCGATTCAAGTTGGGTATTCCATGTAGTGGAACACTGAGCAACAAAGGGACAAAATTCCAACGCTCTCAGGCTATTCATTTTGAGTTACGCGAAATACATACGTACGTACAGACGTCACAAAAAAGTCTCTTTGGATCCATTTTTAAATGCATTTTACAATTTGTTTTGAGAAAGAGTCCTATTCTCTGTCCGCATACGTCACGCTAAAACATAGTTGAAATGTGTTCGAGAGCGGTCGAAACGGATATTTCCTTGAAATACTATACCCGAAATTTTTCGCGACTGCAATACTTCCTTTCCTTCGCGATTGCAATGTTTTACTTCGCACAAGGAAGTAAAAACATTTATCATTTAATGATTTTTTTTCGATTACCATGGTAATCGAAAAAATCATTATCTGCAGATAATGATTCTAAAGAAATTCACGAGAATATGAGTAAAATATTTTTAGACTTTGAAAGCTTGTAATTACTTGCTTGAAAATTCTTTCGATGCACCGAATGTTACGAATTGATAAATAAAGCTCCAATAAATCACAAAACAAATCTTTTGCAAAAAAATCGAAGCATCATGAAAGAAGTGGTTGTTTTTGATGAAATTGAATATGCGTATAGTTCATACACAGATAATAAAATTACTAAAATTCAAGGTCATAGTACCTGTTCACGGCTCACAATCAGCCACTGAGTTTTCAAATTAGTAGTTGGTCGAACCGACCCTGGCGGCAATGTATGATTGAATTCGTCGAGGCAAGGGGTGGTAGAGGTTCCTAATGTCATCCTGCGACACATTCTGCCAGGCATTCATCAGTTATCGCTCCAGAGCTGCGATATTTTGTGATTCCCCAGATCCGAATCTGGCGGCCTACCATGTCCCAGACATGTTCGATTGGTGAAAGGTCTGGTGACCTTGTTGACCAAGAAAGGGTATCAACCGCACGGAGATAGTACAGAGATATGCGAGCGGTATGTGCCCTGGCATTATCTTGTTCGAAAATGGTCCCAGAATGACGTGCCATGAAGGATAATGCAACGGGCAGCAGGATGGTATCAACATATCGTTGAGCTGTTAA